TGAAACATCCTTTGATGTTGCGCCTCTTTTTTTTTACCCCGAGAGGCAGGGATGTTCATTTGTCAGTCAGGCCTGAATGTTCGTCCTGTACAAGTAATTCTCCGATTTCGCTCAGAGATTGAATATGTTTGCATCATAATTTTTGCCCAAATTGATCCATGATGTTCATAAAACCTTTTATTAATGGAAATCTCATTTGAATTATTTCAGAATCTCCTTCCTATCAGCCTCCAGCTTCAAATTTTGGTCAAACTGTTGCTTTTTTTCTTTCGTTCAGCTTTGCAGCAGTGCTTCTGTATCGGTTGTAACACAGATGCATCACACCCCTGAAATGCAGAGAAAATTCATGGGGTATGTAAAATACTAACAGCCTGGAACAGTCTCACAGTAGTAAAGATGTACTGAGACCTCCCGGTGTGACAGACAGCTCTACACGCTGCTACATTAAAACCCAGCTTTTCCTGCCCACTAGGTAGCCCATGGCATTTACAAAAAAACTATGTTCACTGTCACTTCTGCTCATGCATCCACATCTCCTCACAGATTGTTTTAACCCCCTTTTCTCACAGGTATTCAGCACATAAACAACTTTAATATGAAAATAATTTGAAATACAGAAGCAATGCAAAAGGGGAATTCTGAACACATTCGAGTCCTTTGATTTGTAATGCATTATTTGCTTGGGTTTCGGTAATGAATTCTGGTAAATTGCCTGTCTGACTTGAAAGAGGAAGGGTGAAGTGGCGTCAAGAAATCCCCAGTCAGCAGTGATGTAATGGCTCATTTGAAGTCCAGGGAAAGCTGGATGAGTCACATTCTTTAGGAATGAACTCTAAAAGTAATTGCTTTGGTTTCCTCTCCCATACAATGCAGTCTGAAGAGTCAGGGAACAAAACAGGAAATGACACGGTTATAGGTTGAGACTTGGATGTACGTCAACGACCTCAAAAATCCAAACATGCCATTCAAATGTTTCCTATGCTGTAACAGAGTTTCACAGACTGGCGGGATGAGTTAAAGTCACTCTGAAAGGGTTTGTATACAACAGTCATTGTGTAACAAGGCAAAAGGAGCAGCGAGTGGTCGGCCAAATTAACACCCAAAACAAAATAATGAATATTATACAAAAAATACTATAATTCTACAGGTTCAGGACAATACTTGGTTTCCACAGTCATGCTAGCAGCACAAAGAGGGCTACATGTCAACATCAACAGTTATGATGCTAAACTCCAGGCACTCAGCTGGTAAATTGTTTCCCGTGTTCATTATGTTTGTTGTGAACTTGCCAGCCGGAGCATGCGCAGGCATTTGGCTTGTTGGCTAAATGTTAGCATGTTCACTGCCTCTGTTGTGAACTTTAGCTTGTTTTCAAGAACAGAGTAAGTTACACCAGTAGTCATGGGTGAAGTGGCCTTGTCGGACAGCTTTCATGGCTTGAGGATGATACTGTTGAGAGTAGGGTGACCATGTGTCCTCTTTTACCTGGACGTGCCCTCTTTTGGGGGGCTGTCCAGGTTTGTCCGGCTTTGTTCAGGGAAGTTTATATAATCCTTCAAATATAAGCGGTTTTGTACATAAGTTTTGCGTTTTTGTCATGTGGACTTGCTGAGTTAGAAGGACGAAAAAGACCCCAGATCCAACCTGAAAAACACTCAAAATTAACTTGGTGCGGCTCCATGACTCTATCCCTGCATAGTCGTGTCCTCTTTTTGAGGATTCAGAATATGGTCACCCTAGTTGAGAGAAAAGAGTGTGTGATGTCAAGATACTGAATCAAAACAATGTTAAGACAAATTTTTGAGACATTTATTCAAAAATAACACATTTTTATCGAGTGACGTTGCCACTGGGAATCTAAGGGGGTCGCCAAGAGGTCATCAAGCTTCTTAAAAGGATTGTTCAGTTTTCTTAAAGTTGAGATACTTATCAATAATATATTGGACACAACATATTTACTATCATCAACCACTGTCAGGCTGATTGCAGTTTCATGAAAACTGCCAAAATTACATGGTTGAGCTGACCTGTCTGAAGTTGTTGATAGCATATCCTCTGTTTCAGTTCTCTGCCACATTCTCATGTTGAAAGCTGAGCTGGCTGGGATCCCCTGTTTCTAATACACTTCCCACTGACAAGTACCTCATACAACCCCACTTGAAAAAAATGAAAAATCCCTTGATGCATGCATGAATATATGTGCATTAACTCTGAAGCAAGCTACTTTCTAGTTCCTGAGATATTAACATAGGGATTGGCTCCAGTAATCAACCAACCAATGGACTGACGTTGCTCTCTCAGAAGCAAACTGCTTGCATGGCTAATGTCACTGCATCAAAATGACTGGATGATGTTAGGCATAGTATTTGTGGTTTATAGAAAAATCTTCCACAGCTATGAAGTGTTGTCACAGGAGAGATTTTATTTCACAGTACACCACTAACGCCTTTTATGGTCCAAGCTCCCAGCTCTGCCTTTGGCGAGTTCTGCAAGAATAACAAAGCAGTGATCTGAGTCCTTGATCCGGGCTCAGGGACCAGATTCAGTTATGTAAGACCCAGTGAGAATCTACGATTCAAGTGCGAATTTGTGTGAGTTGGGTTGTGTTGGTGGTGTGTGTGAGTGTATGTGTGTGTTGGGCGATTGAGCCAGCTCATTCCTTGGGTGAGCGTTGTTAGCCTGGACCATTTGGGGGGCTCTCAGGGGAAAGCCGTTGCTCCGGTCTCTCATCAGGCAGACGACAGAAGACTGCGTGCTCTGCATGAGGCAACTCATCTCGGCCATGATAGCCTCGCTGCACAGGCCATATCTCTGCTTCATTTACTCATTGTCTGATAATAACAAGTGTCTCCTTCCTGCTATACTCAATTACATCTTCATTAGCTTTCTAACCAGCTTAAATCAAACCAGCATTGTGTGGAGAGATTTTAAGTCCATGTGACATTTATTACCACAATGCCAGAGTCTACAGGCAATGGCCAAAAAGGGTGCAACATATTTATTATGTCTTCATCTCTGAAGAGTATTCATTCTCTCATCATAACATCTATTCACTCTAATTTACCAGCTAATGAGGCCAGTTCATTCATCATTTACTCTGTCTGTTATCTAAACAAGGCAACCACCTGACAGATTGGCCTCCTACTTTGGTGCGATGCCAATCAAATACTGGTCTCATAGTAATTAGCTAAACAATGAGGAGGTGTTCCCATAAGACTAACTGATGTATTAAACCAAGATCTCATTGAAGAGCAATCTAATAAAAATCATACAGCATAATTAAGAGCCAGTCGCTTTCCATGTACAGTGAAATGACAATGTGGATTAGAGCAGGTAAGTGTGGCGACAATGTCAAGTACCAGATAGGAATTGAAACATAACAAAACCACTGCAGGACACTCAAACGGGGGATTTCTAATCATATGTCTTTCTGTTTCATCTCCGCTACACCGTCACATTTCCTGCATTGCTGTAATTCCTCGCCTACAGTCTCAGAAAACAGGATGTGCCCCTTTGTTTGTGAGGGAAGTTCCATCATGCCAAAGCCAACTCTGTTTGTTACTATCCAGAACAGCTGTGGCCTCAATCAGTCATCCTCGCCTTTTTCGAAATGGAACAGACAACCAAAGAAGAGTAGGTTACTCCACAACCCTCTGCCCACCCTTGTGGATTTCTTCATTGTTTGAGCACTCAATTTTCCTTTTGGTGCCTTTATGCTTCCACTATCCCTCTTTGCTTTGCAATAATGTCAAATTTTAAGCTCATTTGCTCTCACTACATCTCCATTCTCTTCCAAGACCTCAGGCTGCTCTTGTCCTGGTCGGCAGGGTTAAATACTTGGCCAGGGTTCAGAACAGTGAACTTACTGAACAAAATGTCTTATAATGAGACATAAACAGACAAGGAACAGAGCCGTGAATGTCCGGCCTTTCTTCCTTTGGCCGCTGTGAATGACTGGATGTCAACAAGCGGCTCCACCCAAGCAGTCTGTCTGTAATACATCACAAGGCCTGGTGGTGCAGATGACAAGTCATATCAAAGACCTGTCTTGGGATTTTTAAGGAGAAAACAATGTCAATTCAATAAACCGCCAATCCCTGACAAATCTGTTTCAAAGGGGGTAAAACTTTTCCTAGGCTTACATCACCCTTGAACCAGTCTCGTGTGCTTACAACAACGTGTAGCTAAATATTTCAGAGATTCCCGACTCCGGCTTGTTGGTCCTCGTCTAACCTCATCCGCAACTCAAGTCTGACAGCTCTTCAACACGCTAAAAATAATTTTGCATACTTCAGCTGGATTATGCAGCTGATGTCACTCAATGTAAAATAACAAGTCGCAAGGGGGAAATTCATGTTACAACCACAAAATTAACCTTAGCCCTGTCTGTTTGTTTCCAGCTTCTTAAAAGTAGGCATACACTGGAGTGAAATGACAGCAGAATATAAACATAGCCATGATGGGAAGTCATAGCTGTGTAACTGCGACGATGATCCATTATAAGTGACTCAAACAAGGCATAGCAGTTTCCCTCTCTCTCTTCAAGCTTGGATTTCAGGTGATAAGTCAAATGAGAACCAAGGAATCACAGTGCGAGATCAGATGATCATTGTTCCCCACTTAACAATCGACACACTTCCCTTTTCAGCTGCCTCCACATGATGTCTGAGCTAAATTTGTGACTTTACTGATCTGAGGGGAGAAGTGAAACTCAAAGCCTGATCAGAACAGGCATACAGGAAGCAGAAGTACAAACAAAGAAGAATGGGTGAGGGCTCCTGAGACGTGGTGGTGACAGTAGCAGCAGTCATTTTAGGGCACAGTGGAGGTGCAGGCATATTGCGGATAATTTGTTGTCAGTACTGTCAGGAGTGTGGTTAAGAAAAGTGAAAGGCTTTTAACAGTGTGAGTGAGTTTATAGAATCAGATGTGGCTGCAGGGACATCGGTATCTCTGCACTGAGTCTGTACTTTCATGTATTAAGAATGAAATACACAAAATTCTATCAAAACTTTGCTTTATTTATATGTGAAATCATCTGTACAACAATTTATGTAAAAAAGGATATAACAAAACTGTACACCCGAGATGTCAACCCATGAGTAGATCTAAACCCCTTGGACTTGCAATAAGTTAGGATCTAAAGTGCCTCTTGAGATTTTGAACAAAACAAAGATCTGCCTCCTTAAAAAATATGGCACTGAGGAATTAGGGCCCTTTACTGGCATGGTACTTGTGGGAATTTTAAATGTGGCATGAACGTGCTTTCTACACTCCAGGCAGTGTTTTCTTTCTCTTCCCGGACAGATGGAGGCTTTTCTAGTTTAGGGAGCATCAAACATCTTGGATCTGATGCTGCAGGGATGATGCCTTGCCGGATGGATGTGGCATCACAAAGGGTCTGAGGGTGTTCTTGCATTTTTGGAGTGGAGTGCCCTTTTAATTTCTGATGTTAACCTTTTCCCCCCCGCAGCCGCCAAGGGAGGGTTTGCTCCCTTAGATCTGCTCTGGTGTAGATCTGCCTGTCTGCTGGGCTGTGTTGCCCCGGTCTCTTTCTCCCCCTCGTACACATGGCTCGTTTTCTCACTCTGTACTCATCTCTGCAGAGGAAGAAAAAAACTTGTTAAGCCTTGAAACCAGAGTGAAAGAAAAAGCACCTAATGAACACACATGCTGCTACTCACTTTGTAAAGATGCAGCGAGGGTTACGGTTAATTTGTAACATTAATTCTCTGATGATAGCAAAGGGTTGGTGTGCGTGCACAGAGCCATGCATGTGCGGTTCCTTCAACTGCTTTATTGCTAATAGTGAGATCATGAGACTCATGTAGTCAAGTATCCTTTATCACCAAAGGTCGTGTAGATAGCCCACCTGAGTCCCCAGACATGGCATTTACACACAAGTGGTGCTCAGAGATAAATGTGGTCGAAGGGAGGTTGTAGTGCAGAGTAAAAACAAAGCAGCTGCAACAACATGCTGTGTGCTCCAATTAACTATATGCACTCAGTGTGTGTCTCTACCACCACTACACACTGCAGCCTTGTCAGCTTAGGTGGATGAGGAATAAAAGGAAGATTGAGTGATATGGGCTGTAATTCTCTTAAAGACTTACCTGCAAGTTCCTGGTCTAACATGTTGATAAAATTCTCGAGCTCACTCGTGTCTCCCAGCTTGGCTACGGACAGGGGATAGAGAAGAATGGAATATGAGAAACTATATTATAGAAAAAAGAAAACTAGCAGTGGAACATTTTTGTGGAGAACGACGGCTCAGTGCCATGGTATTTCCTTTGGACCAAAAGCTGAAAACTAATCTAAGCCCCAGAATTACATATGAAGCAAACTGCTGTAGACAGGCAAAAATATTTCCAGCTTCTTCTCTACAAACTGAGATAAAAGCTGATCTTCAGCACTATAAAAAAAAGAATGAAAAAAAAAAAAACTTGACAGCTTTAAGGATACAAGAAAAATCTTTGTTGTAAAGATCTCAAGTTACTCTGTAAATACTGACAGAGTGAACACAACCTCTGGTCACCTTCTTGTTTTCATCCTTTGAGATTTTAATAGTCAGCTATGCATCTGTATGCAACTAAAAACACACACGCTCTCTCTCTTGTTCATTTGCATACACTTGGGTGTCTTTTGCCACCACATTACAGCACAAATAATCCTCGCAGGAGTCTTTGGAGGGGGGGCGAGATGTCACAGTCACACCGGCAGGGGCTTTGTTGTGCAAAAACAAAAAGAGCTCCCAGGCTAATGTAGAGAGTTTTTGTGTGGCTGTGATAGTGATCAGAGAGAAAGCGATAGCAATCACTGAAGGAACAAGGGGCTATCTGGATGGAGATGGGGCTGATGGGAGCCTCTAGTACCTTTCGGTGCCAGTGAGATGCCTGCCGTGTGAAGCTCCTCCTCGCTGGTGTTCAAACTGTTTCCCAAAGAGGCTTCGCTGCCTGGGGGTAGTCAGAGGGAGGGGGGTAGGGGGCAGATAATAAACAGAGGATGAGCACTAAGGCCAGAAAGCATACAAACGATCAATAACAATGACAACAAATTTAACACAAAACAGGGGTAAAAAAAAATAATGTGAGGTAAAATGAAGGTAAACAAATGATCACTGTTAGTGACTCCCTGGTGGCAGTTTTTTGAAAGCGGTTTGTTTGTTGAAACGTTAGGGAGGTAAATACTTTCAATAATGACGACGCATGGGAGCAAGAAAATCTCTTTCATCTCATAACCATCAACAATCCAGCAACAACAGAAAGAAAGGAGAAAAATCAGACAATTAAAGAAGATAGGTTGCCCACAATTGCAGTTCATTAGAGTCTACAGCTACAGTATTGTTGTGAGTAAAACAGTGTTCAGGGAGTGTCCTCTTGTACTGCTAATTTCATGCAAATTAAAAGTGTCAAGCTGCAGTTGTTTGGGCTGATAAAGGAGCTCAACCAGCACCCAGGGGAACTCCATAAATAATGTGTCTCTCTCCCTATACTTTGAACACTACACAAACATTATCTTGATAGCAGTAACATGGTTTAAGGTTGACCACTGAGTCACTCACCGTAGTCTGAGTCATCTACCGAGCTGTCGTCTGCCAGCGCTGTGCGGCTCTTGGCTTCCAGCAGGACCCGCTGGTACGCATGAGGCCTGCTGTGACTCGGGGCCTTCAGCTCCTCCACCACATCCTGGAACTCCTGCAGCAGCTCATTCAGATCCAGGTCCAGCTCTGTGGAAAATGTGACAGCAGTTGGAGAGGAATCGCATTACTTCACTGAAAAGAAATGTTCAGATGGTCTAAGTAATTCAAAAAAAAGCAAAGAGGCAGAGGAGCTGTAAACTATAACATTTTAAATCCTGATTAAAGCAAACGCATAATGAACAACTCAAAGATCTTAGAGATTTCTAAATGTAAAAATATCGTCTGGGTGAAAAATGAGAATACATAAAAACTAAAAGCAAAAGCCTGCAGTTAACGTTTATGTCAGTGGGTTGTATTCAATAACTTGATGAGTGGAAATAAAACTAACAGCCCACAAGGCATATAAAACATCTAACAGCCTGTAAAACAACTGGTCTGCAAACTGTGGTAAACAAATATTACATTTCAGTCTAAGTTCTCTGCTTTAGGCTGAGATAAAATATTTCCTTGGATAGAAGCGCACTGTCGTAAAATAGCAGATGCACTATGGGATGTACAAACCTCACTTTATCCACCATTTTAATCATTATGTTATTTTTCAGGCTAAAATGAATATGATAAACAGTGCCTTTGGGTGAATATGATGTAGTTGAAACAAACAATGACAGGGTACAGAACAGACTTGGGCACATATACAATGATTAAAATATATAAAGAGATTGTTTGGGCGAATAATGTCCGAGCAAATTAAACAAATACAGAAGACATGGAAGAAAAGGTGTAAATTAAAAGCAAAGACAGCTGCTTACAACTACAGACCTGAAAGTATGACTCCAAATAGGACTGAAAAAGAAGTCTAGGAGTTTAGGAGCCCTGACAGTACTAAGCTGGTCTGTTATTAGCTTTATAATTGAGCAAGCTCTGTCATTTTGAAAAACTGATTTAGGACTCACCGGTGTTCAAGTCTGAAGACATGTCGAGGCAGTGAAGTAGAGCAACAACAGGCTGCTATGGATCTGAGAGACTTTACACAAGTTTGCAGCTGACGAGCAGCACTGTAGTTTTTCTATGCAAAACCCTCCACATCCGTTAAGCTCGTGGCTAAGAGCAGCCAATCATGTCGCAGAGAAACCTCCGACTCTGCTGAAGCTGGAAAAAAGTGGGCGGAAAGTTCAGGGAAAACCATCACGCAAATGAGACAAGACCGAAATAAACCGTTACGTAACTCAGGTCGAGACTTTTCAGCTTTTCCCATGTCGTCAAATTAAAAAAGACAGAGAATATGTGGACTCTTAAAGTCCTTTTTTTTTTTTTTACTATTTATAAGGATGTTTTCTGATTCTAGCACAGGCAGCTTGCTGCATTAAGATTTTACAGAAGACCTCGAAGAGTCAGTCTGAGTTTGAATGAAACTTTATTTAAGAATAAGAAAGTGTGGCGATGGTCCCATGAATACGCTCCTAAAGAGACATGTCACACTGGGAATTGCTGGTCGAATTATCCTAAAATTATCTTTAAAAATTCATAACACTCTTTCTTGGTTGCACAGTTTTCACATTAATCTCCCCCTAAACTGCAGACTGGGTAAAGGAAACTTTGCCAGTTCATTGATAGGCTAGTCCTTTGATGTGAATACGGTGTTTGTGTCGAAGAAAAAACCGAATAAATCTTTTATTTCTGTTTTAAAATGCACAACTCTGCTCTGTCGACAGGGGCTGCTAAAACTCAATGGCAGTCCAAATCCCTGCAGAACAGATGTTCAACCCTGAGGCCCATATTATGTAATTTTAAAAGAAGTTGTGCTGCATGTTTGCCAGTGTCAAAAATAGTCTTCTGAAGTAAAAACAATTTCACCACACAAAAACCTAAATTGCACCAATTAAAGATAACATCTTATAAGTACTTATTAAGCAGAAGCCTCTTTAAGAGTATACCATATAACATAGTAGGGTGAAACGGTTGTCAACATAAAATGCTGAAGCTTATTGAGGTGAGGCTAATCTTAATTACTTGGCAAATATGAAGACAGATCATGTTTCATCAGGTTTAAATCTATCTTACTAAATAAACAAGATTATAGGGAGTATCACATTTTAATATAACCATAGTTTACTCTTGTGTTATTTACAGAAACCTGACCTGGGGGGTTATAGCGGCTTCTGGAAAACATGTACCAAACAAAAAGTACTAGAAGACAATTCTGTTAGAACAATGATTCAGATGCCGTTTTAAATGATTATGAAGTAGTAAAATAAACAGCTGACAGCAGGTGAGCCCGTAAAAACAGGTGTGCAGGCACATTAGGTATTTGCACACTAATCCTATCTCATACAGTTCAGGGGAAGGATGTGTACAGAAACCACATACATACTCATTCGTCTTAAACTTCAGCGTCGCATGAGTTGCCACAAAAAACGTGCTCCACTCATGCAGGTAAACCTGTTGTTCCTCGGGCGTCTCTTGTGTCACTCTCGCATGCAAGGTAAGTGCTGTAGGAGGGGCATAGAATAAATTCTGCCTCAGCTGTGCAGGTTTAGGTTGCTGCTCCTGCCCATAGAGCTCACTTGCTGCCGAGGATCTTTGGTAACATGTTTGAGGGTGATGGGCCATGGGACTCCTGATAATATGAACTGGGCTGGACTGCTGCAGGTCAGTAGGTCAAAAGCAATACAAGGATCATCCATTTAAAAGGTATCTAATTATTGTCTCAGTGTTTCTCATTGAGAGAAAGGTAACAAGTTTTATTCTTGAGAGTGTAATTTTTAGGTGTCACAATTGCACCCAGGTGTCTGGAGTCAAATAAAAAGTATTCAAAGCCTCTTCAAGATTATGCTACAAATAGATGATTTTTAGATATATTTAAAAAAATCAAAAATACATGCAAACTGTATTTGTCTCTGTCATGTCAGTTCCATATTTAGCTATTTGCTTTTGTTGTTCATGTTGCATGTGAGGGTAATTAGAAGATAAGCAAGTGGCCTCACATTACTTCTATTATGCTACTGCTTGCTATCACTAAAAGAGCTCACTGAGGCATGAAGTTTAAACCTTATCACCACCTGGGAAAACCTCCAGACTGACAGCCTCAAGTGCAACAAAAAAAGAGTGTAAAATCATACCCAAGATCAAAAGGGTGCTTCCAAAACTGTTCACACTTTTTTTTTTCCTCCTGACAGAATCTGCTGCTTGTGCTCCATCTCTGGCAGATCACATGTGATTCCTCTGTCTGGTTTTCTGTCCCAGAGGAACAGGAGCCTGGTGTTCTGGCTGGGTCACTTAGTAAACACTTTCCACCACCGTACCAGCTCCTGACTCAGGAGTATCTGTGGATGGACAAAAACACAGGGAATTTCTACACCACCGAGCAAAAGATGGATCGCGAAGCCCTGTGCCCTGAGGAGACAAAGACTGAGGAATGCATTATTTTACACAATGCTGTGGTGGGGCCCTCAGGAGACCTTATTCAGTTCCCTGTGATCATAGAGGACATCAATGACAATGCGCCTCATTTTGAAAATGGAGAAATACACCTGAGGGTGTCTGAGGATGTCACAGTGGGGACCAGTTTCTTACTGGATGACACAGCTCAGGACAAAGATGCTGGATATAACAGTGAGCTGCATTATCACCTGGAGGACTCTGATGGAGCTTTTAGTTTAAAAGTGGAGGAAAACGGGTCTGTCATCATGCTGGTTGTGCAAACAGCTTTGGATAGAGAGACTCGAGACCTGTACCGGATGGCGCTGGTGGCCTCTGACTGTGGCTCAGACCCTCTAAGTGCTACAGCAACTTTAATCGTCACAGTGACGGATGTTGATGACAACTGTCCAATTTTTAGTCCTGACAGCCCCCAGAATGTCACCATCCCTGGAGACACCCCAAAGAACACACTGGTTGCTCAGGTCAGAGCCACAGACCCAGATTTAGGACTGAATGCTGCCATCGTGTACTCCCTCAGTCCCAAAGTCTCTGAGCGGGCCAGAAAGCTCTTTAGCCTCGACAGCCTCACAGGGTACATCAGACTAACACAGGACCTCCAAAGTGACAACTCTGAGGAGCTGCTGCTAAAAGTGTTAGCAAGCAGCCATCTCTGCCCCCCAGCAGACAATCAGGTAATCGTATCCGTGCTCCCCAAGGCGCATCAAGAGCTGACGATCAAGATCGGGTTCATAGCGGAGCATCAAAACCAGACTCTGGTGTTACAGGAGAACCAGCCCCCCACCGCCTTAGCTGTTTTAGAGCTGGAGGGTGACAGCAGCTTTAAAGGCTCATCTCTTTCCATTGAGAGCGAGGTGCCTTTCACTTTGAACCGGCAGAATGGTAAATATCTGCTTTCCACATCAAAGCCCTTAGACTACGAGATGAAAAGAGAACATCATATTTCTGTGATAGTGCACAGGAGATCAGCCAAAGGGTCTGTGATCGCTGCCTCCAGGCGTGTGATCAGGGTGATGGTGGCAGATGTCAATGATAACGCTCCACAGTTCCTCCAGTCTCAGTATCAGCTGGAGGTGGAGGAAAACAACCAGCCTGGGATGTCACTGCTACAGGTCTCAGCTTCAGACGCAGACAGCGGACACAATGGGAGGGTGGCCTACAGGCTGGGCAAACACACACCCACCATCTTTAACATTGACTCGGTGACAGGTCAACTGTCTGTGTATGCCTCTTTGGATAGGGAGCTGCAGGGTGAGCACAAACTCACTGTGTTTGCACGAGATAGTGGCTCTCCTCCCTTGGAGTCAGCGGCCACGGTGTACCTTCATGTTCTGGACCAGAATGACAATGCACCTGTGTTTCTAACCCCTCACTTTATCTTTTTCATTCCTGAGAATGTTCCACCGTTCGCTCAGGTGGGAGGTGTAGGGGTGATGGACCCAGATGAAGGAGAGAATGGTAACACAGAGTTGCATGTTGTTAACAGCAGTGGACCTTTTGTTATGGATAACACCCAGAGGACACTGCGCACCACCACCAACTTGGACCGTGAGACACAGGACCGCTATGAACTCTATGTACTGGCCAGCGATCACGGCCACCCTGTAACTTTGACGTCCACTGCCAGGGTGACTATCTTTGTAGAGGACATCAATGACAACCAGCCGAAAGTGATTCTCCCCAGCAGCAACTTTTCATGCCTGACTGTCTCTCCAGCAACCATCACAGGCACCCTGGTTTCAAAGATCTACGCCACCGACGAGGACTCGGGGATAAATTCGGAAATTACATACACCGTCGCAGCACCAGAAACGCTACAAAATCACAGCCCATTCCAGGTCGATTCAAGGTCTGGGAACATCACTGTAGCAAAGCAGCTTCTACAAAAAGACCTGGGAATGCATCACCTTTTTGTTGTGGTCAGAGATGGAGGGAAACCAGCTCCACTTTACACCACAGTGTGGGTTAATCTGTTGGTCAATGAGAGCATGGAGCCCTGCCACTTGGACAGAGTGCCCACTTGGACAGGAACACCTAACTTGGGTCAAACCCCTTCCAAGGCCCCCATCTGTGAGGTCGAAGGCACCAGGTCGGGTCAGTTGACTCTGTTAATAGGCCTGTGTATGATGCTAGCATCCACATGTTTTCTGGTGGTGTCGACTGTTTTGTACCTGAAACAGAGGAGAGGAAGTCTCAGGCAAAAGAGGACGAGACACAGTGAAGAGAATGAGATTCCACTCAGGCTCAAAAACAAATATTACTCTGAAGACTAACAGAATAAGGCGCGCAAAGTGTATAATCCTCACTCACACTGTTTCAAGGATAGAATCAGCCCCTGAATCAGAGAGAGGAGTATTTGTGGAAGGCTTCTTGCATATTAATAATTATTACTGTTGAATTATTCTGATACAGTGTACCCAACATTTGTCAACAGTTATTCTGTAAAATTATGAGGAAATAAAGTTGATCCATGAAGGCTTAAGCTACCAGTGATGCATACAATGTGATCTGATAACCCAAATATATGATGTTATCATCAGGGAGTTGTTTCATGTGCATCAACACAGGTGATGTGCACAGTATTCAAGCATTATGTGGCAATGCATTACAAAAGTTTTAAACTCGTCGTCTATAAGGATTATTCCCCCTTACCCCTGCAGCGAGAACAAGATTGAAGTAATGGTCCACTAAGCTGATTGTGCCAGACTCAGATTTCCCACTCTAAGTGATGGGAAGCCCAAAGTATTTAGACACACAAAAGGGTTTAATGTTCCTGCTGTGGGGAGGTGATGAAAGTCTCTCAAGGAGCAGGTCTGAAAAAAAAAAACACAAGAGGCAGAGAGGTGCTGTGGACAGGTGAGAGGCGGCAGAGGGAAGGAACACCACAGTCTCAAGTCACCGCTTTACACCTGTTATCCGATAGTGCTGATTCTCACCCGCAGCACTGGATGGCACCCAAAAAAAGGCAGGAGGAAAAAAAGAGCTACTGTACAGCATGAAGTAACCCAACAGACTTGTTGTTGTGATGACAGATGTTCAGAGTGAAATCATACTGTGTTCAAAGAAATCTCAACAAAAAGAGGTTACTCTCGTTTGTTACAGATACATTTGTATGCATGCAGGGGAGAGATTGAGAAATCAAACTGGGTTAAGAGATGCATTAAATATAAAAGAGCCGGGGTTATATTTGTTTACAAATCTATTAACAACCGCTCTAGGAGGCCAAACCAATAGTGTGAGCTTTCACAAAAGAAATCTTTATTTATCTTGAGTAGTTTCATAAACTATTTAGTAATCCTACTAAGATACACCTGTGCGGCAGAGAAAGAGGCGAGCCAGGAGCCTGAGCCTGTTAAACACAATGTACAACAATTTAGTTAGTGGAGAACAAGGCTTGTACAACATGAGAGGTGTTTCTCAGAGGATTTCAGAGCTAGCGGCTAAAAAAAAAAAATTAAATAATCTAACATGGTTGTACTGTGAGGCTAAGTACATTAGCTGAGGGGGAATAAAGAGCACCATAACAAAATTACATATTAAAGAAGCAACAACAGATTCCATTAGATTAAAACATGGACAAATTAATAATAAAGCTAACCCTTTTTAGCTTCAGGCAGGCTTTTTGACCCAGTTGACAGTTTGTCCAATAATCTCACATAAGGATTTCAATGCATCATGTTAAGTTGTTGTATTTTTATCCCCCTAAAATGAGCAGTATTGTGGGATAAAACTCTTCATGTATTGGCCAATGTGCAAATCCTGTGGCAGGGGAAAGCCTGCCATCTGCTGGATACATGCAATAAAGAACATGGCTCTTTCATTTCTGGTGTTTTGGCCAGAGGGTGGAGATGAATCAGAGGACCATGTCTCACTCTGCCACAGTCAGGTCGACTGAGATCAGTGATGCTTCTCTGCTTCATGCTGCTCAGCTCCACTCACAGTGATTCTCATTTTAATTTTTTTTTTTTTTCCACAGCCTGAACATTTCATTGTAGGGAATATAGTTATATAAACTGACATGGACAAAGACACAGCTGGCACCCAACCAAAATTTCTAAAGGTACACATCAGGACGTTTAACAATCCTGAATAATTTATGCTTTATTTAGTTTTGGCTTTCTAACCCATACAGTAGCTGACTAATATCATACTACAGTTAAAAAAGCACCCTATGACTTATAAAAAGTTGGATGACCCTTATTTATAGCCTGTGAAAGACAGAAGTGCAGACTTGCTGGGTTTGCAGGGGGTAGCCTGGGTCCCTGTTAAAATCTGACTTACCTTCAAAGATGCCTCCTTCTCATTTTGAACTGTCGCCTCTCACTCACTGCAACTCTGAATCAGTGCGAGAACAAAATCCCACCGTCCCAAAAATTTTGTGCTCACACGTGTTGGAAAAAGGGTGGTTTTCCTATCACCTTAAGGGTCACTCTTAAGTCTAATTTACCAAACACAAAAAAGAAGGTACTAACTGATATTAACTCTCTGACTCCAATTCCTTAATTACCTTGCACCCTTTTTTCCACATGGTCATTGATGGGAAGAAGAGGAGACAAGGATTCAGAAGAGTTCTCAGTTGAAGCTCTATTTTATTAATTACACACGGGTCAAGAATGTGCAAAACAAAGATCTCTGGGTTCAAAATTAGCTCATCCTACCAAACAGACAATTTAGAGGTCTGAGCACTTCAGAACCCCGACTAACTTTCCCTTGAACCCTTTATAGTCGAGGATCCACTTATCTAGACCAAGAGTTTCCTATATTTGATGTTGTCTAGGCTGGTTCCTTGTTCCTCGAGTGGGTCCACCTATTTACCTGATAAGGAGTTGTATTATGCATTCTACCTTCATATCTAACACACACACATTCAATCATACTGTTTTGCTGTTGCTGGGCAGAGAGTCTAAGCAGGCTTCAAAAAAGCAAATTTCATAGACAAACATAACTAACACCCCCACTAAGTTCCAACCACAGCGCACCCTCTGCACATTTCCTTTCTCATACATCTGGGTGCGCTTCCTTCCAAAACAGCACACGAACATCTTTATTCAGTACAAGACCAAACCAAAGCTAAAACCTTCATACTATGGTTACTGTTCTTTTCCTCGGTACAGGGTGATCTATAGCCTCCCTGGAGCTTTTATCCTTCCTATTATTATCAGTACATGACTGCAATGAGCACAATTGTTAATTCTTTATGCAGCTTCGTCAAATCATCTCCAAATTTACAATAAATCCTAACACACGTCACACACTAAAACAACATCATATTAGTGATCTAGTGTGTAATTACACATTGCATTACAGCAATGTCAAAGCAAAAGAGGCACAGCTTTATACACAAGAAGAGTTACAAACACACAGTGTTGTTCCCCCCCAGCTGGCTCCAAAACTATACACCCCCACCTCTGTTTTACTGGGTTCCGAGATGGACTGATTTTGCCCCACCAGTACACCTCCACATATTACACATGGCAGATGAGGAGTATCAAGGGCACAAATATGCTGTCAGTAAGAGCCAAACGATCGGCTTTTTGCCCTGTCATAAAAATTATGCCAAAATTAATCTTAAAAAGGGATTATGCAGCATTCTTTGCATTTAACAGGGCATGTTTCTGGTACTCTGAACTGTTACTTAGGACAGCAACACTGTCTGTATGAAACTGAAAGCTTCTGTGAGGAGCTTCTTTTTGATATTTCTGAAACAGACTGAAATTCATATTGATGCTTTTTTATGATATATAAAACCAACAAAGACCGTTAGCAAAAAAGATTTATTTTAACACCCTATTACATAATACCTAAAATTGATATAGAGGAGCCACTGAAGGAAGGTCCTTGTTTAAACATTTCCCACACCGATGTTCACAAAAAAACTATCAATCAGACTATCAAAAGTCAGTAACATAGACATTTCTTTGTCAGAGGACATTATGTAAGCGTGTAAAGATGAGATAAACAAAGACGAATTGTCCAAAAGGGGGAGCCAAAACTGAGACAAACCAAAACGTTCTTACTGGACCTTTAACCCTTTGAAAATTATCAGAGAGACCGTAACACTTGTAAATTTTGTACACTTAAAATTCTTACACTATGGTAAAAAAATTGAGAATGGATTGTGCATGTATGTGCATGCAAGTGTGTGTTTGTTTACAATCTTCACAACTTTATATCTGCTTACATAAGTCAGTGTCCCAGCTGGGCCACCCCAACCCCCATTCCAAAAAATCTGGATCCGCCCCTGGAAAGCCCCTTCAAATTGCCTCTACAACAACCAAGTAGAGACATCAACAATTGATTTTATCATTCATGGAGAGCCAAATGAAAAGAACATCTTACTCACAGCACTCATAAATAATCCATCATGAGAAATAACTTGGCAACCGTGTCAAAGAAACCCTTCTCTTAACAGGCAAAATCTCCAACACAACCAGAACATTGGTGACCACACATCTGTTGATGATAGAATTTCAGGCCTTTTGTGAGTGTTAAATTATTTAATTAAAAAGACAGCATGTAACCGTTCCCTGATTGTTAAGAGTAACAAAGTTTGTGTAGGTGGTGTTACCTTGACAGATTGCCCTGACTGCATCTGCATGATTCGTGCGCTGCTCCTCATTTTCCTTTAGAAGAGGAGAGTGGGGTAAGTTGAGCCAAAGGGTAAGTTGAGCCGCCCCCTGTTGCTTGGAAATGGTAAAAGAAATTGATCATGTGACCAAATATTGAGGAGATGGGCATCAATTCATGGAGTCTGTGAAGGTTAGAAACACATGGGTGAAGGGGTTAGACATTTATTTACAAAAAAACATTTTTCAATCTTGAAAGTGAATTTACTCTGTCATAAATTTTATTAGAATTGTGTTCAGACCAAAAAAGATCATTTTAAATTTGTTTTATAGATCAACTGTGGTACCTATGAACTACAACATGAGGTCAAAAACCTAGCATCAAAGTCCACCATTTTAGCTAAGAGGACTAATAAATAAAGTCATCATAGTAGTTCAAGGGTAAGTTGAGACAGTGGCTCAGCTGAGAAAGTAAAGGAGTCTGATGAGAGGATCAGAGTTTCAGTTCAGATTGTTGAAATGTGTTACTTTTTCTTTTCAAAAATACAGCTGTGAATGTTCTGGGGGGGGGGGGGGGGGGTCAACCAACAGAAATATAAGTTTCTAACAACGTTTTTTTTCTCTCTCTGCTATTTGGATAAGTTCTTTTCTCGATATGCAAATCAGCGTCACCGATGAACTAAAGACGTTTCTGCAAGCGTAAGAACCTTGACCTCTTCATTATAATCCGCCTTGAAGTTCATTGAAAAGCGACATTGTTTCTTTAAGATTGCACTTGCAGCCATCAGTGGCTCTGTGCATTGTTGTGGGAACAGAAAGCGAGTTGAGATTGATATACGGGGGCCGAAGTCAAGTTGCGCATATCATCATCGGACCAGCTGCAGAGCAGACAGCAGCAGCAGCAGCAGGAGTTTCCAACGAGTCCTGAACGCATCCTTCCAGACATGGGTAAGAAACTCCAGCCTCTTTAATCTACTTCTATTAGCGTTTAACAGAGAGCATACTTCATTATATCAAATCTGCATTGTGTTTTGTATGATAGCAAGCTGATATGAATGGGACTGCGAGAGGGCATCCGAACTTATTAAGGTCTTTTTTTGTCACTGTAGAGATCGGGTACTCACCGGCTGATGCTTCACTGATATTATGAGATTTATTTCATGCTTGAGATGGCAGGACTGCTTTCAGAGCAGCCCTGTCGCGTTTGCTTTCGCTCGCAATCTTTCTCAATTTTTAAAGAGCAGAACTTGGCCTCGGCTTTGCATTTCTTTCGCCAGAGCAGGGCCTGTATTTTTTTATTGTGGTCACAAAGTTAGTGGAGGTGGATAGCTGAGTTTCTGCAGCTGGGAGCGTGAGCTGCTGATGTCATTAATTGGCTAATTGGTACAAGGTGTGTTTAGGCACGCGGGGAGTAAAGGCAAGACCTCAAGATGGTCAAATCTCCCCTTTTTGTAAACACATGCATGATTAAACAACTTAAATTTAATTAAATTTGTTCACATAATAGATTTCTGTGGGGGGAGGGTGGGGTAAGATGAGCCATTTTTTCATATTTCGGATTACTCCATCAAGTCAATCATAGTTTTGTCTCTAACTAGTGTATCTGCATATATTTCAAGATGTTGTGCATCCCTGCAAACCGACACAATAAGTGTAAACATAACTGTCTTCATAATATAGAATGCCAAAAAAAGTGGTCTCCTATGGTCAACTTACCCCGTGTATGGAGTAAGTTGAGCCATATCTCCACCCCAGCCCTCCCTCACCTTCTCTCTCCCTAAATAACAGTCACTTCTTCAAATTCATGTGTATTTTCATCTATTATACGCTGTTCAACTGGTACGTTATTTTTTTATTATTATTGTTATTGCATATAACTGCTAAAAAGCTGTTTTGTAAAAAGTGATTTTTTTTACATGAGAATGTCTTTAAGTGATTCAGAACATTCACAGCTGTATTTTTGAGAAGAAAAAGTAACACATTTCAACAAACTGAACTGAAACTCTGATCCTCTCATCAGACTCCTTTACTTTCTCAGCTGAGCCACTGTCTCAACTTACCCTTGAACTACTATGATGACTTTATTAGTCCTCTAAGCTAAAATGGTGGATTTTGATGCTAGGTTTTTGACCTCATGTTGTAGCTCATTGATACCACAATTGATGTATAAAACTAAATTAAAATGATCTTTTTTGGTCTGAACTCAATTCTGATAAAAACTTATGACAGACTAAATTCACTTTCAAGAGTGAAAAATGTTTTTTTTTTGTAAATAAATGTCTAACCCCTTCACCCATGTGCTTCTAACTTTCACAGACTCCATGAATTGATGCCCATCTCCTAAATATTTGGTCACATGATCAATTTCTTTTACCATTTCCAAGCAACAGGGGGTGGCTCAACTTACCCCCCTCTCACCTACTCATTTCACCTTTTTAAATTCTCAGACTGAGTTTGTCTGTCTCCTTCTCTTTCTGTTTTACACACAGTCATGTAGATGTGTATGTATTCTATTAAAGAGCCATCTATTGGCCCCCTTGCCATCTGTGTTTACTGTAATGGTACCAACCACAGTCTGTCTGCCTCCATTGTCAGTGCATGTCTGTTCAAGGTTGCAGCCATGCTAGTGTGTAATGGCACACATGCACACAGTTGCACTGTTTGTTTCTATATTAGCCTCTCCATCCCTTTTCCAGACAGATCCCCACTGTCACTTTCTAACTCCTGAGTCTACCCAGAAGGAAGTCTACGAGTGTGAGTGTGTGTGTATGTGTGTGTAAGGCATAGAGGTGCCTCTGGTCTTTGTTTGCTTGACATTGGTGGCCCTTGTACCCCCATGATGCTGTGGGACAAAGACTGTTGTCTCTGCGGTCACAAAAGCAGCCTCTCTCTCTTTCACTTTGTCTCTCCTCTCCATCCTCCCCCTTTTTCTCACACTCTTCATGCTGGGTGGTGAATGGAGGCAGGGTGCGAGCGGGGGTCAGAGCAGACACATCCCCACGTCCTTGGCCTTTGGCATCCATTCAAACAGCACATGACCATTTGTTAGAGAGCACTGCTTTACTGAGGGAGCAGAAGTGTTCCCAGATGCTGCAGAATCTGGAGTGACAAAGCCACATGCACCCATTTCTCTAAAAGGATGCTTAAAATGTTCAGTTATTTGTCACTTAAACCAAGATAGTTTTAGTATTAAATGCTGCTTTTTTCTATTGATAATTTCTGCCTCTACTCTAGATGAGTGGGATTTCATGAGGAGTTTACAACCCCTAAATAATGTCCTAAACACCCTGGATAATCTGCTAATCCCAGCGTACACTTGTTTGATGTGGAATACATTTTTAGCTTTATAGAAAGTGTCCTGTAAATAATCTAGCCAGCACACCAAGAAGGTTGTTTTTCTCCAAACAAGTAGTTGTTTAATTGTTTTCTGTAACCACAGAGTACTAAAAATTTCAACAATTTTTATAATAATTTCATGGTGTTGGCTAATTATAAACCAAATTTCAGCTTCTGGTGTAAGAAATAGCTCTTCTTTAAAGTTGTCAGATGTTTCTCTATGGGTATTAGATGGTTATTTAGACAAAACAACCCTTTTGAAGATGCCAGCCTAATCTCTGAGACAGGGTTATTAGGTTTATTAATTTAATAATTTCTTTTAGATATTTTTGACTAAAAATATTCTTTTAAAAGAATGTGTTCTTTGGTTGAACCTTGTTTTCATGCAGCAAGAACAAACTACTTCCTCCGCAGTGACATAAAAACAAACAAACAAAAAAAAAAACTGGCAGAACTTTTTGGATTTTTACCACCAAATCCAAAGAAATAAGGATTTATTTTGATGATTCCCCAAAAAACTTCAAGGACATTTTTCTAATGGCGAAATGACTATTTTCAGCGCAAAAGTGACTGTGAGCATTATTCCCTGTCCATGTAAATTTGTCATTGTGGACATTGTTGAAAAATAAGTGAATAAAAGAGACATTACCTTTCTACTTGTATATTTAAACGCTTTTCCTTTTACGTTCTGTCTGTCATATTGCATTGGTTTAAATGGAGTTCTTACTTTTATGGGATGTGTCCTCAAACAGGTTGCTATGACTGCTGTATGCGCTGTTTGGGTGGGGTGCCGTACTGCTCCTTGGTCGCCACGCTGCTGTGTTTCTCTGGCATTGCCCTCTTCTGTGGTTGTGGTCACCAGGCACTCACAGAGACAGAGAGACTCATCGAGACTTACTTCGCCCGCAACCTTCAGGACTACATCACCCTTGCCTACATGTGGGTGTCAAACTTGAGTGCTTCCATTATTCCTACTGAATTTCTTGAGCTGTAGTTACTATTTAGAAACTGTAGGTTCTTTCAAACCTGAATTTTGCCTGTTTTTTCTTTTTCCTCCCTTTTAGCATACAGTATTTCCAGTATGTCATCTATGGTTTGGCCTCGTTTTTCTTCGTCTACTGCATTGTGCTGCTGGCTGAAGGCTTTTACACCACAAGTGCTGCCAAGCAAACCTTTGGAGAGTTCAGGAGCACCATGTGTGGCCGCTGCCTCAGCTCTTCGGTGAGAGGGCCCAGAGTGGGACAAGTAAAGGGGATTGGAGAGATTGTATGGGATTAATACACATATCACTCCCTAGTGGGTGCTGAGCTGAAAATCTTAAAGCTGCTAAAAACCTTCAGGGACATGCAAAGATAAGCATACACTGTGTGTTTGAGTGGATGTGGAACAAGCTGAGTGGTTGGAAGACGAGGAGGAGAACACAAAGTAAGATAATAAGTATAGCTAATGAGGGAAAATTTTTTAAGTGCTCACTATGTGGGTCACTACTTATGAAAACATCATTGATTTACTGATGTGCATTAGTATAAAGAGATGATGTACCCTAATGTTCCTTCTGCTCTCCTTACACAGTTTATAGTGATGACATATGTGCTCGCTGTGCTGTGGCTGTTGGTGTTCGCCCTCTCGGCCCTGCCTGTGTACTTCTTCTACAACATGGATGCCACCTGCCACACTATCGATGTTCTGACTGAAACCCCGGCCAGTATCAACCAGCTCTGTGTGGACGCAAGGCAATACGGTAAAAAGACAGTCATTGATAGCAGCATAAAAGTCAAGCTGTTGTGGTGAACTTTACAAGGGTAATAGCTGTTAGCTGTTGAACCATGTTTTCTTATTGTCAAAAAATACCATCAGAGGCTGTCTATGAATCCTTCTTACTGACCTCCAATGTTGTTCGCATTCTGTAGACAAGACTAGCCTGCAGCTGTCTCAGAAACTGTGCAAAGGAAAAACCCTAAAACCCAAGTAAAAGCAACCATGTTTAGCACCCTTTGCTACTGTGTTGGATTGTTCACTCTTGCAGACCACAAAGGTGTGGGAATCTTTTTTGTCTGTATAGATCCATTATGGGAACAAGATGTGAAATTCAAAATTTAGACCTTTATTCCACAAATTAACAACCAGGGTCCAGGAATTTGTTTTTTCAGCAAGCTGATTTAAATTGTTGCTCTGGGCAAATATCTTTTATATCACTAAAGATTACAGTTGAGATTTTACAGTTGCCACTATGTTGTGTTACTTTTCTAGACTTAAAATATATATAGAGAGAACTATGATGTTTTTATGATTTTCATAAATATAAGTAAATACAGTCATTTCATTGGTGGAGGCACAGAAGGCAAATAATTGAAGGACCCCCCCAAGGGTCCTGGGGTATAACTTCAGACAGTAGCTCATCAAGTATGCAACAACTCCCACCTCCAACTAATTTCTCAAGTTTTAGTGGTTTTAGCTCAAACTTAATATGTCAAACTGTTCAAGAAATTATGAACCTACATGACCTTGGTTTTTGTTACCTGTTTTTAAACTCAAGTCCTATAACTAGTGAGCTGATGAGAACCACAGGAATGTCAGAGACAGGTTCATGCTTGTTTGTCATGTGATTTGCATAGAGTGGCATCAATGTTGCATAATGCCACATTTAGTTTGTCCCATTGAATAAGACCGAGTCAAACCAAGAAATGTCATTTTCAACAGGGCTTCTGCCATGGAACGCAGTGCCAGGGAAAGCTTGTGGTATAACTCTGTCCACTATATGCAAGACCAGAGAGGTAAGAAAACGAACAGGAAATACTCGAGCTCTGCTGTTACGTTGATGCCTCAAATAAAATAAAAACATCTTTTCTCCACTAATTCAAATTCCCTCCCATCAGTATCGAATGACCTATGACCTCTACATTGCTGCCTTTGCTGGTGCGGGCATCACTCTCTTGGCTCTGGTGAGTGATTATGCTTCAGCTGGAGCCAATTTGGCTGCATCAACAATAGTGTTAAGGCTCATGTGACTTAGTGACGCTCAAAGTGTAGGCGGTGAGGCATCTCAGGCCTCCATGACTGATGACTTCTGTACTATTGCTCTCTGTTCCTCATTCTCAGCTGACACAAACATCATAATAATGCTGTAATGTCTGGTGGTTTTCCAGCCAGCCAAATGGAGCACCCATTATACTTGCATGCTCCATTACAGAAGCTGTTATATGGATGGGATCTGCTATCAAATTAATGCCATAAGCAGTTTATCATACTTTTTCATCCCTGTGGTGTCATTTTTCTTCTTTTCACTTCTGTTCTGACACTCTCTGTCTCTTCTGGTCTTCCCATAGCTCACCTACACTGTGTCAACAACCTATAACTTCGCCGTTCTGCGGTATCTGGGGAGAAAGGGTATAAGTGCACGGTGTTAAACTCACCAGATTCCTGTCTGTTCTGTCACTACTCCACCACATATGAGGATAAAAATGGACAACAACAATTCACTGCTTTCACATCATCAGCACAGAACCACCTGTTGTTAAAGACTCTGAAACTGTTGTCTTTGTATTTTTACTTTTCTTGTTGGGAAAAGCTTTTTTTTGTACTTTTAACTATGTGTATCAGAGGTTTGTCTGCTGATTGCAACAAGTCTCATTACTGTGTTCTCAAGGCCACAGGACCAAAACGTTTGTAAATTATTGCTCTTTCTATTTACTCGCATTAGTGTTTAGAACTAAATGTCACTTTTAGTTGCGCTCAAAATCCAAATAACACACTATTAATCCATTAACAATTGTGAGAAATGGCCATGAATTTGAAGTACAGGTAGCTGGGGTGCAGCTGTTCCTGGGAATAGGGATTATCGGTTACCATAACGACCATCCCTCACATCTGGTTGCCATAGTGGCAGACATGCATGCATTTGCAGCCTCATGCTGACCTCAGGACTTTTCTCACGGGTCGGAGAAAAGCTTCAACAATGGAGTCAGGCCTGTTTTGAAAAGCCATCCAATAGGGAGCCAGCTGTGGGGGCCACCTACACTACGAGTCTCTGCCAAGGGTTATATTACATGTCAAGGGAGCGGGTCCTCAGGACAAAAAGGGTGTAAGACCCCTTTAAAGCATCAATGCAGCTCTTGTGAGACAGAAACGACACACAACAGCATCCACATGCTGCTGCATGACCCCCACCTCCCTCTGAATAATGAAAATGATCGATTCAGAGCAAAAACTAAAGGAATTTTGGAGATTTAATAGTTTCTTTACAAAAAGGGACATTTTTAGTAAATTCTGATCGAGAAAGGTCTGAAATCGTTTCTCATAATTTTGAGATTACAAAAGCACTAGGTGCTAATTTATTGAGTGGCCTTATTATTCAGCCAAAAACAGGTTTTTGAGATGCAAGTCTCCCTGCTGTTAAAGCATAACTGAGGTATTTTGATAGCGATATGACCGCTTTGTTTTGTCTCTAATTCTTTAGGAATTTTTTGTAGTTATTGTATAACACATCCTTTTACTTAGCTGATTGTCTTCTTTGTTTACACTTTGGATATGATTGAATAAACCTTTAGCAGTATAATTAGTAGAGTCTTCTATTTGGTGGAAGCTTTATCAAGCTGTGAGGTAGATTTGGCTGTTTGATGTTCTTTTGTGTTTCAAAGTTTTATAATAAAAGATTGTTCTTTGAAGCATTTGTGCAGAGTGCCTCTGAAAATGTTTATTTGTAGTCAGTGTTTAACTGGCGCTCCAGCCTTGGCTGTCTGCCACATTTAGGGGGGCCAAGGTATTTTGTAAGGTGTTTTGTATTCTCCCCTCTTGGGTCCACAGGTGCACTGTTCCCTGCACTTGGCTTTGAACCAGGTGTACCTGAGGAAGCTGAGGCAAAGGGTGAAAGAGGAGAGGAGAGGCTATGACCTGTATGGAAGGCTTCAGAGGGATAGAGGAGAGACACTGTGCTCTCCGTACCCTGTGAACATGTCTGACACCTCCTGACAGCGCTCCCAGTGTTGCTGCAGGAGCTCTTTTCAACTGATGTCCACCACGCCCAAACTGGTCACCTGAAGTGTTTAAATCTGTTGGCTTTGCTCAGTGTTAAAATTGTCAACCTTTAGTATTCTAGGCTGTTTACAGTATTGGCTTTTCTGTTACATTTCAAGATATAAAATAGTGAAAAATTATTATTTTTTGGACTAAATGTGTTCCATTTTTTTTCAACATTTTCTATAATGTTCCTTATGTTACTATTGACTATAGAATTTTGCTTTCTATGTATTTACTTTGATTTCAAAATATGTCGCCTGATAGGCAGACAAAATGGCAAGAAATGTTCTTTTTCTTTTGGCCCTGCCTGGTTCTAATTTCACAGTAAGCAGTGCATGCTTAATATCCTTTTTAATGAAGAGGAAATAAACAGTGTTCACTGCCTCTTGGGTTCTCACACATAATTGGTCATTCAAAGACATTCAAGGTCTAGTGTGATGAAATTCAAGAGTTTGACAGTTTGGGATCTTGCTCGGGATTAGATTTGTGCTTAATTGCAACCCTGAAAACGTTTTCCTGTCGGTGAAAATACCTGCAGAAAGGTGGACAGCTGAAGTATACTGATTAGTTTGAGTGACCTATTTTAGTTTTAAAAATAGTTTGAAAGCACTGGTTATCATTAAGCCAGCAATTAAAGTCAGTGCGAAGCCGCACACTTTCATGAGTTTTCAAAGCATGAGCACAAAGACCACAGACAAGATGAGAGTCTCTGTTTGGTTGTTGCATGTTTTATTTGTAGCCAAGCACTGGAGAGTATTTACCACTTTGCCAGCATGTTGGCACGCCCAGTCCCATCCTCGGTAGTGCAAAAAAGAGGATTAAGGGAAGTTGTCCATTAGATCAACACATAATCAGGATGAACAGTCCAACTTTCACACAGCTTTAATCACACTCATGAGCTTGAGCGCTGAGAGTGTAACAGACGTTGAGTGTCAGATTTACACATTATTTTAAAAGCAATATACATAAGCCATTTATATGGAGAGCCCAAAGATGTGTGTTGACATTCATGAATATTACTACAACATTAAATAAAAATACTGAAATAAGATGGGGTTGCAGTGATTATAACACCACAACATACTGCAGGGTTATGCAACAGCTTATGAGTCCCTCTGATTGTAATGAAAGTTATGTTTCAGGTTAACAGTCTGGCAGGCTACATCATCCTATCAGGATAACAACTAAAAATAGCAGAAAAAGACAATCCAAATATGAATACTGACAAACTAACGGCCCTCTTTGTTTCTTTTGCATTTCTGACCAGTAACCGGCTTTTACTTTGTTAAAATGCCAAACTCAGTTCACAGTATCTAGGATCTCTATATCTTTAATTCTCTTATTAGTATCACTACAGCAACCCGCCTGCTTATACTCTAACAGAGTTCATATCTATTTATTGGAAGCCTGTATTAAACCAAGACCCATTTTAACAGTAAATATCCCTGTACCTGATTTAATTAGGTAAACTTTCACAGTGAGTGTTTGATCATCATTGTCTGCATTCACACTGACAAATGCTAAAAAAAATTTGACTGTAAAGGAAAATAACCGTCAGAAACACAGTACTTTCAATAACAGAGAAAAAGGATGTAACAATGGAGTACAATTTGAACCATGGCAACTTTGTGCATTCGGAAATTGAATTAACCGTATTCACGGACCAGGCATTGCTGTTTGAATAAATAAAATTTGAAGTACCAGTTCAGTAGCAATCTAAAAACTGATGTGAATTATTATCAATATTTTGACCTTTTGAATCAGACATTATTTTCTCAAACATTCAGGCAAACAACATTGCCCCCTGGCTGATACCAGTAATACATTGTAATGGTTTTTCAGTGGAAAAAAAAAACAAACAAAAGAGAGAAGTACCATCTCCCTGAAACAAGCAAAACATTGTTAAGTTGTCAGAATACAGTTGTATGTTTCATTCAAAACTGTATAAACGGAGAAGAGAGGTGATGCACAATGCATACATTAGCAGTCCCAACAGTCATATCCTTGTGCTCCGGCTATTTCATATTCAGCTGAGAACAAAACCGAGCGGACTGACAGCACAAGGCGCATGAAATGTCTGAGTAAAGAAAGGGAGACACCAGAATGGAGACAGTAAAAGAGTGGAATGTTAAGGCTTGCTACACAATCAACAAGGCAGGGATTAGACGACATGACTAAAGATTATTACGAGACTATTGATTCAGATCATTACAGCCTCCTCTGGAAATCAGGAAAACAGACTTTGATCAGCCCTTATTCTGACACTGTAACACTCAAGTAAATAGCACATGCTGTCTGTGAGGAAAAACATGTATGTTTATGGAAATGTGCTTCAGAAAAAAAAAAAAGGAGCAGCAGCTTATCAACACGGGAAGATAAAGCAGTTATTTTGTACCTTGAGAAACTCCTCACTCAGAGAGCAAGCCAACAGACATAAACCGTTGAGAACTGAAATGATCCTGGACTGCTTAAATCATACCTGACGTCTCCAGCAACTCACCAGTGCAGAGGGAATAGATAAAACGAGTTCATGAGAGAAACCACAAGAGCTAGTACCACAAGCAAAGCAGCAAAATTAAAGCTCATTCCCTTTCAATCGAACAACAACTCCATGTCCCTTTTGTATGCAAAAATCATTCAACTTTCTCGTACCTCAAATTGATCGGTCATCATACTGACGCTTAGAGTTCCTCAGCCTGTAACACTGTCACTCAAAGACACCCTCTAGGTCCAGGAAATACATTAGCTCTCTACTTCTGCTCAAATATCTGAAAACAGGAAAATACGATACTGTATTCAAAGCGGCTCTAAAACCTGGAGAAAATCAGTTCATGGTCAGACTGTAGAGTTAAGAGACCTACTGTGCTGAATCTATAAGTGTGCTATTCAAGGGAGGGTGAATAAATCCTCTTCACCAATGTGTTGACTTTAATCTAAATTGTTTCAATCAAATAAACGCTTCAAAAACACTACTTGATAGAACTCCTGCGAGGGCAGACAAAGTTGAAGCTGTGTAAAACCGTTTTTTTCCTGCAACACCGCTGAAAGATGGAGTAAAAAGGATGAGTGTGCCTGTTACAGTGTGCCTGTACCTTAGAGTTTAGTACCTCAAAGGGGTTAGAGCATTATTCAACATAGGAGATACCAGCCGTATCCTTGACATCGCCACCCTGAAAGCAGCTATATCTTATCCACATTATCTTTCGCTGATACTGCACTCAGTACCTTTGTACCTATAGCATGTGTACCATAAATAATATCTGACTAGCCCTGACAACTTCCAAGTGCAAGAGTAAGCCACAGAGAATGAGACAAGGCAGAATTACACCTGACTAATCAGCAGCAGGATGTGCGGGAAGTTTTGCGGTTTCCATGGAGGTCGATTGTACTAGTCAGAAGTGCATGGTCAATCTGGTCCTCAGCAGCCAGAACCTCCCGTACGGCTGCTTCGAATGCGGCAGTGACATTAGTGTCATCTTTTGCACTGGTCTCAAAGTAAGGGCAGCAGCCGTTCTCTTCACACCATGCCCGTGCTTCTTCTGTACCCACCTCCCTCTGTTCCATGTCAACCTTATTGCCAAGCACCACAAAAGGGAAACGCTCAGGGTCTTTGACGTCCGAGTAGAACATGAACTCCTTCTTCCAACAGCCGAGATTTTGGAAGCTCTGCAGGTCGTTCACAGCAAATGTGAGCAGGCAGCAGTCTGCACCTCGGTAAAAGGGCGTGCGTAGGGACTTGAAGCGCTCCTGGCCAGCTGTGTCCCATATCTGAAGAGTGACTAGGCGCCCGTCTACCTCGAGGTCCCGGTTTAGGAACTCCACCCCAATGGTGTGAAAGGACTGGGAGTCGAAACGGTCCGTGACGTAGCGGTTCATAAGGGAGGACTTGCCCACTCCACCGTCCCCCAGCAGGATCACCTTCAGCAGCAGGCTCTTCCCGCTCGTCATGTTTCCCCCCCACCCAGCGAGACCTCCGCACCAGGTGGCAGAACAGGGTCTATCAAACCTAAAAAGAGGAAGGAGTGATAATAATGACACTGACATGCAAATTACCTTGGGCAAGACGAAACTAAATATACAGCACTTCTGAGAAAACATCTTTGAGGTGTGTGCTGATGATTTCCCGGTAGAAAAAAGGGGTAAAGTACAGAGAGCAGGCCAACAGACTCTAACAGGCTCTAAAGTGAAAAACACAATGACAAATAAGAAAACACACTGATCACAACACATAGCTAATCTCCAAAAAAGAAAAAAAAATACAAAACACAGCAACGTTAACCTCTTACAGAAAAGGGTGTGTATCTGAGGTGTAGGGATGTAACGATATGGAAATTTCACATCACGATTTTTGTGACCAAAATTATCACGGTTATCAATATCATCACGGTATTGTTGAAATATGTTCAAAATGTTTAAAAAGTACTTATATGAAATCATTTGACAAAGTTTTATTTAGAAAAAACAACCAACATAACACACAGGATAAACTTTTCCTTAACCTGAAATAACAGAGGAACGATAAGCTTAAAAAATTAGAGATGAGGCCTTAAAAGAGCCAGAGGTAATCAACACTAGTGCTAGTAATAACAAAGTACAAAGTAATGTGCCAGTGGCATAAACATTAACATAATAACAAATAAAATTTAAATAAAATGACATTCCTTATTGTGCAAATTGTAAGAATCTTCAGTGCTCAAAAAGATCTACTCTTACAAATATAAAACAGAGCAACACAACTATATGAAACAAAACAACCTCATGTAAATGTGTAGTGCAGGGGGGTATTCCACGAAGCTGGCTTAGCTCAAAGCCTGGCTTATTTCGGTTAGCTTGGCTAATTTTAGTGAGAGTTCGGTTCCATAAACGGGGCTTAGGTCTAGCGTGGCTTGGTAACCATGGTAACTCAGCCAGCGCGACAAGCCTGGTCCCAGGCAGGCTTACGGTCAAGCTAGCCTTAGCTGTGTCTCAGAGAGGGTCCGACGGGCTTCCAGAAGACGCTTTGTGAATTGCATGTCACACAGTAATTTCATTTTTATCTGTAATAAATGATGCTCTTGTTAGGAAAAATAAATTCCGGACATGCCAAATACTACGCCAACCTAAAAAAGAGAGAGAAATTCAGTAGCTGAGTGGATAAAGAGAAGTGCCGGTAAAATGTGTTTTGCACTGCTCTGTGGGTTCGATCCCGTCAGCGGTAATTATTTGGAAATATCTGATTTTCTTTCTTTTATTCTGTGACTCTCAATGTACTGTCAACATATAACAGAATAAAGGCACAAACAATCTCATCCAAAACACTGAAGGCGACAACAGCAACAACATGAGGAGTGTTTGCTCCGCCGCTGAGAAAGACTCCGCTCTGCCCTTTTTTTCCATGATCTTGTCATTTCGACAATCGATACATCGGGGCTTTTTATGTACCGCGGAGGCGCGCATAGCCGCGGCTTGGATCAGCCTGGCTAGAATAAGCGTCTCTGAAAAACAGCTGAGCCTCGTTAGTGGAACGAGTCGCAGCTAAGATTAAAGTGGCCGCTTATTCAAGCCATGCTTACCGGCGTTAGCCCAGCCTTCTTTAGCCAGCTTTGTGGAATACCCCCCAGGTCTTTAAAATAACATAAAATATATAAACAAATCAAATGAACCACACCGACTGTCCGTTTTCTCCACCATAAGGTGCTGGTGCTGACTTTGTTTACTACTTGAGATTGAAATGTAAAAATGTCAGCACATTTACTTGGTCTTGTTTGTGATCTGCGAGGAGAAACAATGATCCCCGCTGGCACTGAATAACCTCTCAGATGGCGTGCTGGTGCCATCAAACATGGTTTTAATGGTAATTAAATTTGAAACGGTAGTACTAACCATCAGACATTTTACCACAGTTTATCATTTTACCGGTAATCGTTACATCCCTACTGAGGTGGCAAAGATTATTACTAATTGGACAAACACACAGTCTTTTTCAGTTTGAGGAAATGCTTAATACGCCTCTGCCACATGCAAACAAAAATAAAAATTAAGGAGGCTGAAAATAAAATTGTGAATCACCCAGAGTGTGGCAAAGAGGTCACAGACAGTGTACATTACAGATCAGCAGCAATTCATGCTGCACTGAGGGCTTTTCCATTACTTAATATTATTGCAATTTGTGATTTGCTATTGTGTCTTTCTTTTTGTGTGTGTATGTGTTTCGTGATTTTTACATATTTTCATGTTTTTAATGTTTTGTGATTTGTTGTTTAATTTGCTGTTTTTTCTGACTCATTGTGTTTTCTTATTTGTTGTGTTTTGTACTCTAAACCATTTCAGAAAAGTCTTCATGTCTATTTACATTTGTATTGCACCGCTGATGAACCTTTATGATACTAAATAAGACACGTTTAATGGTTGACTAGTTTCAGTAACGCAATGGCCGGGGTGGACGACCGAGAAGTCTACCAAAGGTCTTTGGATGAAGCTCTGGCTTTACTGACAACAGCTTTTTGTTAACTACGCGACAGTAACACTAACTCGTGGTACATGATCTCCTTCCTATCCGTCATGTAGCACATCAACATAACCATAAAAATAAGCGGTACTGAAACAGGTGCAGTGTGACAGTCATAAGCCGCAACAACAGGGGCGAGCCAGGCTCATGAAGTGCTGAGAAAATGACCACTGCGCCTGCGCAAACCACAAACATGCTCTAGCTTGTTGTCAACTGTGGCTTCATGCTAGAAAACTACTTAAACAGCCCCGTCTGTGATCTCTGAGAACCTGTCTGTGCGGTGTTTTCAAACAGGAATAAGAAGGAACCGAAACAGGTAGCAGACCCCTAAAATGCACAAGTGAAATATAGACGTTGTAGCTGTAATGTTTGGCCGGCGACTACAGCGATGGATTGTTGACATCCCATCCTGGTCATGCTAACCATTAGCATCAGTACAACATGCCAGTCGTAGCATTATTGGGAAAAAAAACACAGGGCTCGGCAAAAGGTACAAAAGTATCACAAAGGTCACATATCTACGCATGACTGGTTATGCTTATGTAGAAAAAAACATGCACCATTCCTCACCTTGCTCTGTAGGTGTATTTCGCGTGCCGCCTGGTTCCTCTACTTCTGAGATTGAGTGTCGTGACGTGCGCGCCCTAAGCAAGGGGCTGCACGTGCACATCACCCAGCAGTTCGAGGTCCAAAAGTCCGTCAGATGACTTCCGTCAACAAATCATGAGATGCGGTAATTGTATGTATATTTTCATTCAACATTCTACGGTGGCCGAGAACCGTCACTGCGGTGCAAAAAAAAGTCACAACGGAAGTTACTGATGCAAAAAAAAAAAGGCAAAGAAACCGAAGCCTGCTGCAAACAAAAAAAGGATGGAAAAAAAAGTCAAAATGGAAGTTACTGATGCAAAAAAAAAAAAAGAAACCGAAGCCTGCTGCAAATAAAAAAGAGGTGGTGCAGATTAAAAAAAGAAAAAAAAAAGCCACAATGGCAGTTAATGACGCAAAAAAAATATGGCAATGCAAAAAATTTAAAAAAAAGTTACTGCGAAAATAAAACGATGCAAATAAAAAAAATGCAAAAAAAAGTCACAACGGAAGTTACTGATGCAATAAAATAAATAAAAAGAAACCGAAGCCCGCTGCAAATAACAGATAATAGGGTCATAACATACAACCCCCTCCCCACACCCACCCTCACCCTTAGGAGGAAAATGAGAAGGTAAACAACAAAGGCTATATGACAGTACAGTTTACCAATATGTATAAATCTATATAGTGATTGAAGAAATGAGTATATAATTTAAGAGCCAGAAAATTAGATGAACAGATAAAAGAAGAGAACTATAAATAAGAATGAACTGTATTATACGAAGATCAAAAAGAAGAGGGAAAAAAACAAGAATAAAATAGACAAATAATAAAAATTAAATAAAAATAAAGTGATGCTAAGATTTCTGTTATCTGCCCAGTATTACCAGATAAAAGTGACAGCATTTCTCACTAAATCCCAAAACCAACATCTCATGTACAGGGATCAAGCAACAAAAGATGACCAACATCTCAATGCAGTGTTAAAGATCTGACATGTGTGACAAATAAGGACCAAGTCTTGTTATATTTTTCTGTAGATCCACTCATGGAGTACCTGGTTTTCTCCAGGCTTTAAAAACATCATAACCTCACGGATCCACTGAGTAAAATTGGGAGGTGTCTTACTTTTCCAATTAAGCAAAATACGGCGAGGAGCCAATAGGGTTGCAAAAGCAACTGTATTTTCATTAACATTTAAACCTTAACTCTGGTGTTTCCTCATTGGGATCACATGATAGCGTTTCTTAACTTCCTCAGGTCATTCTATGCTGTTTAAATTTTATTTAATTATTATGTGTATATGTGTGTACGTTTATATTTCTCATTATTTTATTTATTTAAAATTTTCACTTGTCTGCTTGTCTTAAAGCTTTAATGAATTTGTTTTTTTATGATTTTGTGTGTGATTTTTTTTGTCTTGCTTTTAACAAAATTTTATATCTTAATTTTATATCATTAACTTTTTAAAAGTATTTTAGCATTTATCCCTTCCAGTTTTAATGACAGGATCATCTTTTATTAAGCTATTTTGGTGCTCTTATTCTAGTATCTTTTACTGTTGTTTTTATTTCATTTGATTTATTATTTCTTAAATTTCATTTTATGTTACTTTGTTTTTAGATTTTAAGCCTCCAGTGTTTCCATACCTTGAATTTTAGAACGGCATTTCCTCAGTGCACACATTCCTGTTCATATGAATCGAGCCCTTTTTAAGTTCATGCATTTTAATACACATTTCTATTGTGCTTAGATTGCAGGGTGAGAATGAGGGGTTAGGTTGGAGTAGATTAGGGTTTTCTTTGTTTCGTTTATTCCTCTGCTATGTAAAGCACTTTGTGCTACATTGTTTTTGTATGAAAAGTGCTATATAAATACAGACTGATTGATTGATTAGGGAAAAAGTCCTCAGCATTATGAATAAATTAAATAAAATGTTAGAACTTAACCATGAAGGGTACGTGTATTATGTTTCGTTTTTTTTTTTTTTTGTTTTTTTTTTTAATGTTTTGGGTTGAATTTAGCAAAGCCTCTAAGCTTAACACGAAGCAGAGACATAGGTTGCAACGGCGTACGTTAACTGAAGTGTAGTACAGTAGCATTCACACCGAGCCCATAGATGGCAGCATACAGTTACACTAAACTCACGACCCCGAAGAAGAAGAACAACGACAGCACCGTAGAGGAAGAAACCAGCTGTTTTTTTCCCCTCTCATAGTACTGTTGACTCTTTTTCAGCAGCATCTTTGGATAAAAAAGCCGAGAATCAGCTCTGAAGGGTGTGGATGTTTCATTTTGGTTTGAAGAATCAGGAAAATCGCACGTCCATGTGTTTGATGCAGGAGTAACGGTAGGAAAGTGTAAATGTGTTGATTATTGGGGCTGAGACATCACTGACACGTAGGACTGCAATGGTGAAATTGGCCGTTTGTCTGTTTATGGAGTTACTGTCAAAGAAATTATCTGAGTCAAAAGCACTTTTACGAAGAATAAGTAATTAAAGGTGAACTGTGTCAGTTTGCAAATCTGAAGAATCGTGTCTGTATTTAAGAGAAAACATGTATTTGTCTCTTTAATTGTTGACCTACTCCAATCTTTGGAGCATCTGTAAAATGTTATGTGTTTGTCTTTTCTCCACACAGATGTCAGGCAGGGGCAGGCTGGTGCCCTGCATGTGTCTGGGGCTGTTTGTTGTCCTGTGCTGGGTCTGGGTCTCCTTTGCCTCTTTTCCAGACGAGCAGCTTCCCCTCGAGGCCTGGGATGCAGCGGACCGAGGAGCCTTTCAGCCTCAGAGTGCTCTATCAGAGATGGAGTTTGCCTCCATCAGCTCATACACAGGACCTGGCAACAGTGACCGCCGCAGCAACAAAGAGCTACCCATTCTCCTCTGGTGGAGCGGAGGACTGTTCCCACATTTTCCTGGTGACACTGAGCGCATAGACTGTGCCACATCATCCTGTCTGGTCACAAGCAATCGCAAGGTATCAAAGATATTTAACCTTGGTTCAGATAGAGGGAGTGTGGTCAGTTTAATCTAATTACGATGTGAAGGTGTTCTGACAGAAATCTTATGTACGAACTTTTAAGGTCCAGCAGTACAAACGGACAGCATCCATCATCTTTTATGGAACAGACTTTAGGGCATATGAGGCTCCGCTCCCTCGTCTCCGCCATCAGACCTGGGCACTGTTCCATGAAGAGTCGCCTATGAATAACTACTTTCTCTCCCATGGCCCGGGAATCAGGCTGTTTAACTACACAGCCACGTTTCGCAGGGAGTCAGACTATCCATTGACCCTGCAGTGGCTCCCCTCTCTGGACTACCTGCTGGAGCCTGTAGCTGTGACCCTGGAGGAGAAGAACCGATTGAGGAGGGAGGGCTTGGCTCCTGTGCTTTACATGCAATCTCACTGTGATGTTCCATCAGATAGAAACAGATATGTCCAGGAGCTCATGAAGTACATCCAGGTACAGTATAAAGATGTTATATCTGGGTTATCATCATAAAGAGGCACGCTTGGTGAGCTACTTGTCTGATTACTACAAGTACAGTTGATATAAAAAGTCTACACACCCGTGTTCAACTGCCAGGTTTTTGTCCTGTAAAAGAATTAAATCAAGATAAATAATTTCACTACTTGTTCCACCTTTAATGTGACCTATAACCTGTACAACACAATTGAAAAACAAACAGGAATCTTTCGGGGAGGTGAAGTCAAAATAAACAACTGAAATCATGTGGTTGCGTAAGTGAATCCCATCGAACATTTGCGGGGTGATCTGAAGAGGGCTGTGCATAGGAGATGCCCTTGCAATCTGTCAGATTTTGAGCGGTTTTGCAAAGAAGAGTGGGCAAATATTGCCACATCAAGATGTGCCACACTGATAGACTCCTACCCAAAAAGACTGAGTGCTGTAATAAAAGCCAAAGGTACTGCAACAAAGTATTAGTTTAAGGGTGTGCATATTTCTGCAACCAGGTTATTTTAACTTTTTTATTTTTTATTTTCCCCCCTAAAGGTTTCATTTTGTTTTTCAATTGCATTGTACAGGTTATAGGTCACATTAAAGGTGGAAAAAGTTGTGAAAATATTTATCTTGCTGTCATTTTCTTACATCACTAAAACCTGGCAGTTGAACAGGGGTGTGTAGACTTTTTATATCCACTGTAAACATGAGTTTCAGTTGCACAATCACAAATAGTAGCATATCTATTTATTTAAAAAAAAAGGTTTCACAGATATTTATAACCACACCTTTATCATGCTGTAGTTGTTTGTTTTTGAAGTTTATTTTCTAAAAGTCATAGTGCACTCATGAGATTTTTGTGACATTATTAAAATGTGATCCTCAGCCTTTCATTGCAAAACTGGATAGTCTTATTTAATTGTCTTGTTTTACCTTACTTCTCAGTCATCCTTTACAATTTGAACCCAACTGTAGCCTTTCTTTACATTAAAACTTCCTCACTGTTAATAACCGTTGGCTTGTGTGTACTTTAAGAACACACTGTAAAATCTTTCAGAAACATGCATGTCACATGAATCCCACCCCTGTAAAAGGACACCCATCTGTATGATACCAAGGGACTATTCAAATATTGTTCAGTAATGGTTTTATAAGACATAGACCTAAATTTAAATTGCTTTAATTTGAATAAGCTTAACGTTTACTGAGTCTACCCTGTCTACTTTTTGTTCTTCCTCACACATTGTTTATTCGTTTTTGTAGGTGGACTCTTACGGTAAATGCCTGAACAACAAAGCTCTTCCTCAGCATCTGGAGGACACATCCACAGCCACAGGAGAAGAACACAGCTTTATGTCATTTGTAGCCCGCTACAAGTTTCACCTAGCACTGGAGAATGGTCTGTGTCCAGATTATATGACAGAGAAGCTGTGGCGGCCCCTCCATCAAGGCTGTGTGCCCGTCTATAGAGGCTCATCTGTGGTGGCAGACTGGATGCCAAATGACCACACAGCTGTCATCATAGATAACTTCCCCTCTCCAAAAGCTCTCGCTGACTTCCTCAAACATCTGGATGAGAATGATGAGGAGTATGCAAAGTATTTAGAGTTTAAAAACGTCAAAAGCATAACTAATGCTCGCTTGCTGGAGGCCCTAGAGACACGTGAATGGGGGGTGAATGACATGAGTAAGCCGAACTACCTGAATGGGTTCGAATGTTACGTGTGTGATCAGGAAAATGCAAGGCTGGCAGCGGAACGAGCCTATAGGAAAGCACCTACGAAGAACAAACCCCCTCAGCCTAAAATGGCTAACAACTCTCACATGGGTTGCCCCCTGCCCCGCCCAGGGTTCGGAAGTGTTCAAGATTTACCCGAAGATGATGGGTGAGCGTTTCTGAACTTCTTACCCATGCTATGTGTGGAACTGTTCTACTTTTTAAACTTTAATTTGAATAAAAATGTCCCAAGGGAAGGGTAATCAGCCTATTTTAATGGTCTAATTAAAATGTCCTCCATCATGAGCCTAATCTGTTTATATATCTACCCGCAGATGGTTGCAAATATGGCCGCAGGATTACTGGCAGAGCCTGGACCAAGCAGAGGGGCTGGAGTCCCTGATAAGACATAACGAGTCAGACCCTTCGTTCCTGTGGAAGCACATCCAAAACATTGCTGTGAGCAGAGCCAGAGGAAAACACTGACACAGGCCTTGAAACAAACAGAGGATGGCGAGCGGCCAGGATCACAGGGGTGTCCCATATTATGCATTGCCTTTGTTTAAATGAGGGGAATGAAGCAGAAATGACTCATTCTTCTGCACCTGAGCCAAACTCCCTTTACCCTTACGAGCATTTTGGTTACACTCTAACAGATTTAGACGCCATATTTAGCCAATATGGTAGTTTTGTCCTTTGTCTCAAATCCAGTTACGGGAAAATAATGTTTCAGTTAGCTATACGCTAATATTTCCACGTTTTATCACCACGACAGAGGGGCCATCATTACTTATGCTCTGCTTTGCATTGTTAACATTAACTGCATGCAGTGCAGTTGTTCCACAGAGGCACATTCTCATGGGAGGTGGCTTTCCATTGGACTGGGAGGGAGCCAAAGACTTGTCCTCAGCATCAAGGGAGCTGTGCCTAACTGTGTGTGAAGACCATCAAGACTAAAGCCACTGAGCTGCATTAGCTTCTGTACAGTGACTCTGCAGGTTGCTAATGGTTATTAGCTGAAGTCACTTTTATGTACACTTCTTTTTTAAGTGACTATGCAAGAAAAAGCCCACTGAGGAGTAAGGAAAGGAAAATGTAGAGTTCAGCACATTTCCCTGAAGAACATCTCTTATATTTGTAAAGTAGTGCTCAGGAACTGTTCAACAATCAACGACTTTTGTACAAGAATCCTTATAACAGAACTGTTTCCTGTTCCATGATACTCATCATGTTTATGTGCAATAACTTTTTTTCAATGCTCCTCTTAAACATGTTACTGCTTAAGACTCCATAACAGCCATATGTCTCTACTGGCACACTGTCTTGTGTCACATATTTGTAGGCAGGATTTTGTAAATCATTTTATTTTATTAACAAAGTATCACAAGTTTACACTCTATTTTGTAAGAAGAAAATAAGCAAACATTTTGTAACAAAGTCATTGTCCTGAATAACTATTGCTGCCAAATAATAATATAGTAACCCATATGCCAGTATTAGCCTGCTAAATGTTGCACAGACTCATCCTTCATTGTTCACTGAGGCAGATACAGCTGTCACCAAAAGGAAAAAAGAACATCACAAGCTTGTACAATATGTGGGAGAAACTGGAAATTTCACCTAATGTAAGAGTCAACAGTAAGTAATAACAGTGTTCTCTGTAACAGTGTCTTTGATCGCCCTGTACCTCATCTGTGCCCAGTCTAAACCAGGCATGGTCCAAACTGTTTGACTGACCGGTTCTCTCTTTATATGCAAATGAACATGAAGTGAAGAGGGTGAGGATGAGAGGCCGCTGAAAAGCTTCCACAATCAGATTTTGGCGTAGCAGCTGTCGCAGTGGACTTTCTTATCATGTAGAAACATGCAGTGGAGAAGGTCTCCCATCGGCCTTTCACATACGGCGCACTGAAAAACAAGGAGACTCTTATAAATCCAATTAATAATGAAATGCAGGGAAGGGCAGCACTGTTACTGGAATTTTCTTGTTCTTGTTCATTGCACCGCAACACACTATATACAAAACTGGGGCAGCTATGAAAGCATAATTAAGCAGGTAATGGAACTAGAAACATGCAACAGTTAAACGTACATTATATTTCAGGAAAAAAAGATTTTGAACAATTAGAGATGGTATGCCGATTGTATGGATGAGGATTGGGTCCACAAGAAGAGAAAAATAATGACAGGAGGGAGATTTTTTTTATTTCAATTTCAAGACTGAAATCGAAATTTTAAAAAGTCAAAATTTCAACTATTCACGTCGACTTTAATCTCAAAATTCTAATTTTTTTTTAATCTCGAAATTTTGACGTTATTGTTGACATTTTCTTGAAATTTCAACTTTAATGTCCTTCCTGTAATTAATTTTTTTCTCTTCATGTGGCCCAAATCCTTTTTTGTACGACTGAGTGAACGAGGTTCAGTTCAAAGAAATAATTTTGGCTGCCTTGAGTAAAATAAAAGGATAAATATCATGCTTTTTGTAACTCAAGGTTTGCCTGTTATAGCTACTTAGGAGCAGGTCCCCTTACATGGGGAGAATTTCAGTCTAAAATCTGAATGCTATAGAATGTTCAGTTTCCCCATTTCTACACACTACACCCCTAAGTTTAGAAGATTTTTATGTTTCCATGACTTGAAGAGTTGAAATGCAACAGAAACTGTCAATGTTGGACACATATTTCATGTCAGTCAGTGCCCTGGTTTGGCAACACTTGTCAAAAAACGTCCCCCTGCAGATTTATGAGACAGATGTAAGAGTGCTAAATAACTTATCTTGGTAAGAGCAATGAAAACCTATGGATATGTTGACATTATTGTCAAATCTTATTGGACAGAAATTTCAACGAGATGAATCCTCTCAGGCACAGCCGTAAGGAGGTTTAAACTCCAATCATATTGTACACTCTAGGTTCTCGCCCACAGCTGAGCAGATGGTTTGTTACCTTGAAGCAGGAAGGGTGGCAGTTAATATTGAGGTGTTCAATGGAGATCTTGGCATCGTTGCCAACCGGCTTTCCACAGTAGTTACAGGCAGATGACAGCGAGCCACTGGGGAGACATCAAGAAGGAGACAGGTTAGCAGCTGACCAGTGCTGCTCTCATGCAACTGCATCTCTGCCTGATAAAATAACCTGTGATCTCCTCTGTGTTGTGCAGGGAAACCTAATAAGTGTAAATAATCCTTTGATGTCCCCACTTAGCCTCCTAATGAGCAAGCTTGCTGGAATTTCTGCCCTGCTGCTTGCACTGGTTTCGTTAAAACCAGAGATAATAAGGCGGAGGGGAAAGGGTCAGGCTTATAGCAGCTTTAAAACTGGTTTAGGGAGTTGTGATGTTACTAGTTTTAATTAGGGGGGCTGCTGTTTGGGTAACTGACAACCATGACGTCAGATACAGAGAGATGTTTGATCCATTATGCAAACAAGCAAAGTTCCCTGAAGAAAAGGCTCATATCTAAGCTGCAAGAGAGACTTATAAAGTGACAGCCCCAACACAAACACTGAAGGCTACTGAAACTACAGCGCTAAGAGTTGTTGAGCTCTGTCAGAGTAAAAACACTGAATGTCTCTGGAGTGTCATCAAAGTGTTAGTGCCGAGTTAACTCAAGGTTGAGGTTGCTGGAAAGTGATGTGTTCAAGTGGCCTATTGATATTAAACGAAGGTGAGACCCTGAAATTGTTAGAATAGAAGGTATAAATTGAAGCGTTTGTAAAGCAGACTTGCGTGTGTGGAAAGTTGTACAATCGGTTAGTAGAAGTTAATTTTGTTAATCTGAGATCTAATAGGATTTGAAGCCTTAGTCCAAGTGTGGGCATTAAAAGGAGTTTAAAAAAAAACAGACAAATACAGTTTAAATGTCAGGTTTTGGTGAATAAGTGAGAGCAGATAATTTGTCTTTAAAAGAGGCTGAAGTGGGGAGCAAGACAGGGTTCATGCTTGCTTCATAGAGATTTAGATAACTGTATAGAGCATTACTCACCTGGAGGGGCTGCTGTATGAGTAATTTGCAGAACTTGATGTCAAATAACCTAAACCACTGCAGGGAAACAAAGAGTAAATCAGTCACAGAGACACCAGCATATATTAATCAATGACAACGGTGTTTGTTTATGTTGATTATATAATGTTCTTACCCATCGGTTGTGTCTCTGGCATTATGCAGGGACAGCTCTGTTGCATTGACATACTCCTTCAAATACACAAACCCTCTTTGGCAGAGGCAGATAAAGGAAAGAGAGAGTTAACATGCGAGTTAAGGTGACTTTCAGCTGTCACTCTTGTCTGAATATCAAGTGTCTCATGCCACTCACTTCTTAGTCTCAGGTTCTGGTGTTGGGACACGCTGCTCTTCTGTCACAGTCCTGGTATAGGTGCCATAACTAGAGACAGAGTGCAGCAGCAGAGTTAGTCTCTCACTCACTGATGACAGAAGTGACAGGAGTGTGATGGCTTAAACAGAGGGATCCATATCTGTCAAATGTAACTCAGGAGATAATCATTTTCTGCCATCACTCGTTAATGGCACGCCACTTAACATGCCGTGATTCGACAAAAGGACATCTCTAATGCACATCATTAATCTGACATCTGGAGACTGATAATTAGAGGGAGGAAAATGAGGGCAGACTGAAAGACAATGGGGAGGGGAGGCAGATCTTGTCATTTGATTTCAGTAATAGAGTTGAGTCAGGACTCTGTCTAGAGTCGTGTCATGACACTCTATATAGGGAGGGATGCAGCTGTGTTCGCACAGGGTTTGGCCTAAATCTTAGAGTAAAGTTACAGACACAGAAACAAAAGAAAATTTGCTGGTGAAGGTGTGTCGTGAGCCAAGATTACCTGTCTAGCATCATGAGTTTCATTTTAAATGCATAGTTTCAAATGGATCATTTTAATTTCCCTGTTGTTCCATGCCATTTCTAAAAATATTCATCCAGTAATACAATACCCTCCTTCCAATGCAATGCATATAACACCAATGCTTTGGAAGGAGGAGAGTGTCTTCACAAAAGTAGGAAAATCAACAGAGCAAATAGGAGAAAATAACACTCTGGAGAAGTTATTCTTGCATTATACCGTCTGACGTTAACAAGATCATAAACTTACCGATCCATAACCGGCTCTGGCTCGCTGTATCTCTCCCTGGAAGGCAAGGCGAGCTGTATTAGACTTTTTTACTGTGGGCTGTAGAAGTCAATAAGCTGGATGCTATCCAGTGAACAAGATTTTTGCAGTTTTTATAAGTGTATGAAGCTGATCTTTTCTGACTCACAGCACCAGAAGGGTGGGGATTTATTGACCAGATGTGCTGTGTTTTCTGTCGTATGACAGAATTTCCTCATCCTGAGCCCACCCTCTGAGTTTTGTTGTTTGTAAAACATTCACCTACATATTTTTCACATTCTCAATTCCTTCCCCTCTCCTGGCTTTTGATCTAAAGACTTGAGATTCAAAATTCAGATGTTTTCAAACCTGATAGTGGTGATTGTTGAGACTGTGTGTGTTTCCTGGGTGCTGCAAAACAGAGGACATCCCTGCATTACAATGAGTCTGGCAGAGCAGGCAAAGATGTGATGAATTTAAGTAAAGTACAAGTTTAGAGGTAGCTGATTATTCTCACACTAAGCCGTATGGACCTTGGTTTTGGATTGTTTTCAATTAAATGCTCGACAGGCACTTAATTTAAATCACATCTATCTAAAGTAGAGAGGAATAAAGCACTTGAATGTGTGTTCAATGAGCCCAGCTACTGTAAAGATACCTTTTGTCCCCCTCTCCATCTCCAGTAGAAGAAGTGTAGGTATAGACAGTGGGTGACGTCCACCTGTCCCACGGAGAATCATTCTCCTTGGACCTGAAGTACAAACCGAACTTGACATTTAAGGAAAAATTCTCTCTATTTGTAAAGAAAAAAAGAATGAAAGGGGATCTGCTTACTCCAGATGTGGGTTAAAGTCGTAATAAATATATATCTGACCTATTTTTGTGAGCACCAGAGCACAATGTTTTCTGGCTCACTGAGTAGATGCAGCAAAAGCCTTCACCGTAGTGAAAGGAAAGGAGGTTATGGCGATAAATGGAGCAGATAGGCGCACAAAGCTTTAAATGAAAAGCATGACTTACTTTCGCTCAAACTTGACCATCATGTTTTCATCTGCAGCCTGGACTTCGGGTTTGGTGTCTCGGCTGAAAGGGGACATACATTGAAAGGCTTTTAGCTCCAAATGCACATGGATAGGAGCATGTGAAAGAATGAATGAAACACGGTGATGTGCACTGTGTGGAAGTGTGAGAGTGAATCAGAGTGTGCCATCACCTCTCTTCTGTGTAAGTGCGCCGAGTCGTGCTGGTGTCCCACGTGTGTGCCCATGACCGGGGAGTTCTGAGGCTGAAGAGACGATGTAGAGGTTGTGACAGATCAGGCATATCAGACAGTAATGTGTGCGGTCAGAGAGATTCATTTTTGTATAGCCACTGCTTTCATTCCCCCCTATCTCTCACTATGTATTCATAACACAACAGTGCACTAGAATCAGTTTAATACCTGTTAGTATCGGTGTTGGTAGAGGTAATGTCATCTGCAAGGGATCCCAATGCATTTTTGCTCAAACTGTAAGAAAGAAGAGAGGAAAGACATGTTTTAAAAGGTAAAGATTAAAAATTAAACAGAGGTTTTAAAGCACTGTAATGCCTCAAGTCTAGTGAGGGATGTTAGAATCCTGCCGTTTGCAACTCATGCTCTCCTAGCCTTCATTTTTACTTGTTTTATTATGTCATAGATTTGAATATTTTGGGGTTTTATACTAATAACTACACAGTCACAGGCTAAATATTTAATAAATCTGACAAAAAATATTGGAGGATGAATGAATAAATTTTTGCAGCCGTGGTTCATGAAAAGGTGACCTGATCAATTGAAAACTTACAGTATATCCGGAGTTGGATCTTTCTTCTCAGTGTAAGTAGTTGATGTTCTGAAAGAGATGCAATTATTCTGAGTAAAACAATAACCACTCAGAATGTATCATTACAATTGCTGCTGATTATGAATAAAACTCTACAATTACATGTATATTATCATGAAGCCATGCGCATGATGATATACAGTAGCATAACAGTATTTTTCAATAAACAGGGGTCATGATATAGAAAAAGAAGGAGTTTGCATTATCATTCCAGTACCTGTTGATGGAAATATCTGCGCGAGGCTGGAGCAGGTCAGAGGCTCTGCAATGGAGGAAAAGTGGCTCGTAATCAGAAACTGCTGCATTATGCATGCTGAGATGCTATCTGGCTGGCTGGAAAAAAACAGTCACAGCTCCAAACCAATATGATTACCTGTTAGGGGATGTGGTCCCTATCGGATATGGATCAAACGGATCAGCCGAGCTGAAAAACAATTTCACACTGATTTCACTCTCAATTGTCAGCATGGCCCATCTTGTGTCAGAGGAATTCTGATCACATTGACTCATAATGGAAAGATTTAATGCAGTTTGAATGGTAAACAGAAACACGGAGGAAGCCGGGGACAAACTCAATCAAAGTCAGAATCTGGATGTCTTTAACAAAGGAAAGGATGATTCTCCTGCTGAATGGCAAAGTCAGTGCGTTTCATGATGTGATCGCTTAAATGAATCCTGAATCCAGTCTATACAAATTACTTTTAACTGAAGAGATGCTTGGAAAAATCAAGTACGTTATTAGATAACATGCCAACAAGAGAAAACTTTCCTGAACAGTTCATTGTGTTTGCCATAACGCTCTCTAGAAAATCCAATTTTTTCTGCAAATGTTTTTCCACACACAACTTCATTAAATGAACTCTTTTTTAAAACACTATATACACAGAAAGTTAAAATACGACGCATAGAAAATATGGTGTCAGTTTGACACAGTAGTAAATAAACTACCTTGATTCAGTGAATCTAGTTGTTTTCACCCGGGAGCTCCAAGGATCTGCACTGTCCTCTTCGCTGCACAGATGCAGGAAAAAGAGACGTAAGTAGGGTGGTACGGATGAACGGCACAATTGCAAGAAACAAAAGGGCAAATAAAGGTTAGTGTGGTTCTTCTCATAAACTATTTAAAACACCAGTCCAGTGGAATAGCTTGAAACACACTGAACTACTTAAAAGAGATGAAAACCATCCTAACAGAGTACACAACAGACCAGCTGTGCGTGTGTGTGTGTGTGTGTGTGTGTGTGTGTGTGTGTGTGTGTGTGTGTTTTGTGATACCTTTTGTCAGTAATGATCACAGTTTTGGTGGTTACTGTAACTGTCTCAGTGGAGCTGGCAGGCAGAGAGAAACAGCACAGTTGCAGGCAGAGTTAGTGTAAATCATTACAAGGCATATCTGAGTCGAAGGCATTTCTGAGCAGGAAGAGTTCTGCATAGATAGATAATTGTTTAAGAGCAGCCTGTCATCTCCTTCTACCTTTGTGTCTCTTTGGCTGTCTCAACTGTCGGTTTCTCCTCCTCTGGCTGCATGCTGAGGCTGGTGGAGACAAAAACAAAGCCGCAATACTAATCAGTACTGAACATTCTCTTCTATTTCCAGTCGTGCTGCAGATAAGATGTGGTTTTCTGTTTTTAAGTGTTTTCATGACGATTCAGGAAAAGTGGGACTCTATTTCTGTGCGGAAAAAAAGCAGGGGTTAAAATAGAATCCTAGAAGTGGGGGAGCCTTGATTTATGGATCAAACCTGAGGCAGGAGGGGATTTATTAAAAATCTTATACCTCGGGGAAGCTTGGCCTCTTCATCTGTGGGGATAAGAATGAATGATACAAAAAGAGGGAGGGACGGTGAGCAGGTGTGTGTGCCTTTCTTACCTGCGTATCTCTACACTCCTTACAATGACATCATTATCCTGGGGACCCAGAGTGCTACTAGTCTTTGTTGGCTTCCACTCACTGCAAACACCAGACATCAAACAAAAGTCAAATGCAGAGGAGGTTGTGTGTAAGCTCTGTTGAAAATGCAACACGAGCTCTAGAGAGGTGAGTTAAGGTAAAGCCTGTGCTTGCTACTGACAAGGGAGTTATTGATTTTCCACTGATGAAAGGATAATTCTTTGGGTAACTTTGTTCTCGGGGCTTGGGTAGGAAGGAACTCTTACCTGTCTAGTCCACCGAGCAGATCCTGACCCCAGCGTCCTGGGCTGAGGGGAACGGTCTGTGTCGACTCCTTGGGACTGCAGGGGAAAGGAGGAGGAAGGAAGGAGGAGAGAAAGAGAGGGAAGTGGAGAATGTGTTAAACAAAAAGGGATTTTGGATTCAGAGGAGATTTCAGAACGAGAACAGGCCAACTGAGGTAGAGGAGAGGAGGAGATCATAAGAAGTTCAACAGTGCCACCTAGAGAATAAAATGTGTAGATCTTCGAATGTGAGAATTGGATGCTGAGAGGGTAAGAGTTTATTTATGACAAACCCATCAGTGAGAGGCAGCAGCTCTTCTGTCATGTCACTGATATCTGGAGTTGGCTCCTCTTCATCACTGTAAGCAAAACAACTTTTCAGAGCTTTTCTTTCAGCCTCTGCGCAGAGAGGGTACCAGGCACCTTAAAATTGAGGTGTAGTGCTTTTTGTGATAACTTTAAAGAAAGCACAGAGTCTGTCTGCCATTATCTGTTTTCTCACCAACTCTGCTCTGACATGAGTGAAAAGTTGGTAAAAAATCTCATACCTGTCCTCGACAATGTGAGAGCAGCCTCCTTCTTCTAGATCCTGCTCTGACTCATCATCCTGCAAACTGAAGGGGAGAGCAACTTTGATTATCTGATGGCCTGAAGGGCAACAACACGATAATCTGTCTTTTTTTTTCTATATTTACTTTTTGCTCCATTTATCTTTTTTTTTCAAATACCTGGTTGAACTTGGGTTGAGAGAAATGAGGGTGTCGGACAAGGCGTTGAGAGTGTCACCTCCCGAGCTGTGAAAATAGATGGAGAACAAACACTTGACATTCCAGGGCAGCTTTCAATCACACATGTGAAAAGAACAAGAGTAAACAAACTGACGCACAGAAAGAAAACCATTTGAAAGCATTTCTGCAGCTTAAATTAAAGGCACTATAAGGAGTTTTTGACTAATTAAAAATCAAACTGAAACTGACACTACTGCCTCTTTCTGACCTTAAAAAGTAAGTGACGATCAGTAGGGAGGGTGATCATTTCTCACTGTAGTGAGAAAATATTCAGAATCTGTGATATATCTCCCTCTTAACAGGATGAAGTTTTGTCTGAAAATACTACTTTCACAAGCGCAGGACAAGAGGTTAAGGGTATCACTTTGTCAACAGGGGGCGTCAATATCAACATGAACCCGAAGTTCCTCACGCCGCTTTAAGAATTATAATATCCTTGTATTTTAAAAGTATTTAGTGTAACATTATCTTAGAGTCTTGGGCTCAGCTTCAGATTTTTATACATATTTAACTGATGTTAACGTCCTCTATAGTGAACGAAGCAGTGAATAAGTATGTAACTGCTTGTACTGTTATTAGGAATATTGTACAGATCCTGACGGCAGTTTTGTCTTAACTTAACAAAAAGTCTACAGCCAATCAACTGTCTGTATGAGTGATTTTTAATTTGCTACATGAAACAAACAACAGTGTCGTTACCACTTATGTGTTTTGTTAATGTAACTAGTTGAGATGGAGCTATTTTACCTATGTACAAAATGTTTAATTTTTTCCTCAATAACAAGGTGCAAAGTTTTGCATCAAGTGATTGTTGAAGAGATCTTGTTTGCTAAAGACTAAAGCTGAGAAATAATTTAAAAAAAAAAGTATACTATTCTACACTGAAGTATAGCCAAAACTGTGTAGATAGTCTGATGCTTCGATATCAAATCCCAAATCCAGGACATTAAGTTAAATGGTATCCACTTTATGTAAGCACAAAATAGTGTAAGCAGGCCTTTACAAAGGTCATACATGTTCTACGAATAAGATGTTAAAGTAACAACAAAAAACATTTCTTCAACTGCCAGTGCTTCAAGCTTACAAAGACTTTTAATTGAAATACATTTGTAAAGGTAAGTGGAATTAATGTGATGAAGTTTGACAGGAATAATAAATTTGCTATCAATGATGAAGCGGTATAGTCCCACAGAGTCCAATATGATAATCATTTATAGCAAATGCCACTGAAATGAATTAAAAATACATTCTTACCTTAGGTTTAAAGATGGTTCTGGTTCTGGTTCAGGCTCTACTTCGGGTTCCTTCTTGACTGTAATCGCTGTTACAGCAGACACCAGCTCTGATGAAATTGGAACAGGTGACAAAGGAGTGGACAATACTGGAGGAGGTGATTTTGGGAGAGATGGAGTTGGCGTGGGAGAAACTGGAGTGGGTGACAGTGGGACTGCTGGAGTTTGAGCAGGAGGAACTGGAGTTGTGGAAAGTGGAACTGCCGTGGGACGGGGAGGAAGAACTGGAGGAGGAGAACGTGGAACTGCTGTGGCACGGGGAGGAGGAACTGGAGGAGGAGAAAGTGGGACTGCAGGATCTGGGGTAGGATTAACTGGAGTCGGTGAAAGGGGAACTGCTGTGGCGCGGGGAGGAGGAACTGGAGGAGGAGAAAGTGGAGCTGCTGGAGCAGGGGTTGGAGAAACTAGAGTTGGGGAAAGTGATTCTGCTGGAGTTCCAGCTGGGACAACAGGAGTGGGAGAGAGAGGAACTGATAAAGCTGTGGTGGGAGAAACTGGAGAGGTGGAAAGTGGGACTGCAGGGGCTGGGGTAGGAGAAACTGGAGTGGGAGAAAGGGGAAGTGTTGGGGCTGGGGTAGGAGAAATTGGAGTGGAAAAAAGTGGGACTGCAGGGGCTTGGGCAGGAGAAACTGGAGTTGGCAAAAGTGGGACTGCAGAAACTGGTGTAGGAGAAAGGGGGACTGCTGGAGCTGGGGTAGGAGAAACTGGAGTGGGGGAAAGGGGAACTGCTGGAGCCTGGGCAGGAAGAACTTGAGTTGGAGAAAGTGGGACTGCAGGTGCTGCGGTAGCAGAAACTGGAGTGGGGGAAAGTGGGACTGCCAGAGCTTTTTCTGAGATGGGTGCTGGAGCGGGGTCTTCTTTGACAGGCTCTGGGACAGCTGTTTTCTCCTCTATCTTTGTAGCTGCTGGCTGATCAGCCTGGACATCCACAGGTTTTGGAACACTGGTGTCAACTAAAGTGGAGGAAAGTGGGACTGCAGTAGCTGGTGTAGGAGAAAGGGGGACTGCAGGGGCTGGGGTAGGAGAAACTGGAGTGGGGGAAAGTGGAATTGCTGGAGCTTGGGCAAGAGGGACCGGAGTTGGGGAAAGTGGGACTACTGGTGCTGGGGTAGGAGAAACTGGAGTGGGGGAAAGTGGGACTGCCGGAGCTTTTTCTGAGACGGGTGCTGGAGCGGGGTCTTCTTTGACAGGCTCTGGGACAGCTGTTTTCTCCTCTATCTTTGGAGCTGCTGGCTGATCAGCCTGGACATCCACAGGTTTTGGAACACTGGTGTCAACTAAAGTGGAGGAAAGTGGGACTGCAGGGGCTGGGGTAGGAGAAAGGGGGACTGCAGGGACTGGGGTAGGAGAAACTGGAGTGGGGGAAAGTGGGACTGCTGAAGCCTGTGCAGGAGGAACTAGAGTGGGGGAAAGTGGGACTGCAGGAGCTGGGGTAGGAGACAGGGGGACTAAAGGAACGGGCAGAGGAGAAACTGGAGTAGGAGAAAGTGGGACTGCAGGGACTGGGGCAGGGGGTGTGGGAGGAGGTGAAGCTGGAGTTGTGGCTGCTGGGCCAATGTCAACCAGAGGTGTTTCAACTTTGTTGGTATCCTCTGGTTCTGGCTCTGTGGGGATTATTTTAACATCCTGAGGAAGGAGCTCAGGAAGTGGTGTGTCCACTTTGGTGCACCCTGGTTTCATGCCTTCAAATGGATCTTTTTCTGGGACAGGTACTGGAGCGGGGTCTTCTTTGACAGGCTCTGGGACAGCGGTTTTCTCCTCTGTCTTTGGAGCTTCTGGCTGATCAGCCTTGACCTCCACAGGTTTTGGAACACTGGTGTCAACTCTGCAGGCCACACAGACAGCAAATGAAATTAAGGAACAAGAGATAAGTGTTGCAGTAAAGGCGGAAATACTTATACTGCAGGACTTACGGCTTTGGGGGTAATTTAGGCTGCGGTGCAGAGGAGGCAGATGTGATGGGGGCGACAGGGTTTGAGGGTGGGGAGATGACAGGTGCTGGAGTTGCAGCACTCTCATCATCTTCTGAAATCTCCACCCTGCATATTTGTGGCCAAGCATGGAGAAATATTTGATAACATGCTTGGACTTGAAGTTTTCTTTTTGTTTCACTTTGAGAAATTTAAGAGGGAACACTTACCTTTTAGCAACAAATGCTAGACTGCCATCGACTGGTGGGGCTTCAGGCGTTTCTGCTTTTGACCTGCGATTTATTTTAACACATAACTTTAATAAACTTGAAATACGCTCATCATTCATAATCACATTTTAGAGGACGTCCAGCTCCTCAGTGTGTACTTCGTTTGAATGGTGTAAATCATTTTTTTATGATTAAAGAATTTCTAAAGAGTCTTATGATTAGAGTTAGGAAAAATGACACGTACTCGAATTTCTTAGCAGCAGAAAGCACATAAGATCGTTGCCGTCCCGCAGATTTCTTCAGAACACTGCTAGCTGCCTCAGTTCTGCAAAAATGAATCATTATGATGTAAATGTAATCTCCTCTTTGATTATAAGAGTTCATATTAGATGTACTACCTGCTGTAGGAAGAGTCTTACCGTTTTTCCTGCTCCTCTGGGCTAAGCTGGTTCTCCTGGCTCTCCAAAGTGGGCTTCACAGTGTAGGGGGCTCTGATGAACAAAAGTAAGAACAGACACTTTCTCAACAATGCGTTCAGCTGCCAGCACTTTAATTTAAATCTGTTCGGTGAGTGCTCACATTTTCTTGTAGCTCTCTGAAGGTTTTTTGGTGAACTGTGTTGTTCCGCTGTAATGAAAAAATGATAACATTGAATGAAAACCAGAGAAGTCGATCAGAGTTATTGGAGATATTAAAGCGAGACACTCTTTTACCTCAGTCCGTTAGTTGAGGGTGGGTTTGTTGGTGCATCAGGCTTGTCAAGTTTATGGAAAATGCCTCTGAAAAACACAACAAAACTGTGAAAATGCACATAACTTTCTGTTATGTAACCAATGATTACATAAAACAACCAAATAGCCCTTATATCTTTGATCATTCACCCCTCCAGTAACTCTGCCTCTGCTTTTGAATTAAATGTGTGCTCCCACATAGTATAAATAAATTTGCAAATGCTAGTCTTACCTGATCATGAACCCTGATGGTGCTCTAGAAGAGAAACAGAGTCATTATTATCAGGACGATCATATCAACTGTGAGACTTGAAAGTTGTAAATAGATGACTGCAACATTTGAAATCTGTGTTTACTTTTGGGGGTCTGAGTTGGTGGGAGGTGGGGTGGGTTTTGTCGGTGATGATACTGGGCTGGTCTCAGGAGGAGCTCCATTGATTCTGGCCCTCACTTCTGCCAACCTGCATAGATTCACAGAAACTTGGTTATTTCCCTTCAAATGACTGGTTGATGATGGACAGCACTCAAGGCATGTGATTTACCATGGTTTGTCCTCCTCAGTGTCAGCCTCAGGTTCAACACGGCGCTGCAGCCAACTGTTGTCATCCCTCAGCCTGGTGCGTACTTTGGTGGTACGAAACACACTTGATTTGTCCCCCTCTGAAACGCAAACATGTCACACAAATCTTGGACGAAAACCACAGTGTGGACTGTAATTTACCGGCATCTTTATTCACTCTCTGCTTCATTGCACCTTTGATATTCAGCCCCTTTTAGCCACACATACTACATCATGACTACGTGATCAACCGCTTGTATCTCGCATTAAAACGGGAACAGTGAGGAGATCAGAATTTACAGAGTCATCAGTCTGGCTCAGGGACACACCCTCAGATACCCTCTTCTTCTTTCACTCAAGGAAACACGTCATCTCACATTCAGATGTGATCAGTCAGCTTACCTTTTGACATGCTTGTTCTAGAAGTTTCGCTCCCTCTTTCCCTCTGTTTTCTTACAGGCTACCTAAAAAAAAGAAACCAAAAAAGTGACACAACAAATGGTTACAGATTGTGTTGAGAGAAGCAGAGTTTCCAGCAATCTCTCATTACATGGTCAGTTGAAGAGTAGACCTTCCCACACTACACTCCCTCCCTATAAGGAACATGTGCTCTGAGAAGCATTCCTTAGTCTCATCCTTTAGACATGCAGATGATCCTGTCCTACCACTTTCCAAAAAATACTGCTGTTACCTTAATATGAATGGACATCCACATTCAAACATACATGTTTCTGTTCCTCTATATTTTAGCCACAAAATAATTTAGCCCAGAATTATTAGTACTTATTGATACAAATTTAAAGTCCTTTTATACAGCTATGCCCGCAAACCCTTCGGTTATTTAAGGCGCAAAGGCAAACCCACATCCCTTAAGGAACTAAAGGGAAAAACACAAACAGACCACAGATTAAGGATCTTTATCTGAAAGTAGATAGATCCATACTACAGCTTATGCAAAACTGAGGCGTTCTGCCAAATTCAGAGTGGAAATATCACTTATACAACTCCAGTAGTTGTGAATCCAGTCATAAATTTATCTCCACAAATTCTCTTAAGGACTTTGTCCTCCAGATTAGTGACATAGCAAATAGAAAATGGACTCAGAGAGCATATTTATCCAAGGGTTACCATCCGTCGGAGAGATAAATGATTAATGAAAAGCCAAGGAAAGCACAGAGCAGGACCGGCGACTATCATGTCAGGGAGACACCCAGAAAAATGAGAGGGCAAACACAGATAATCACTATGTAACACCGAAAAAAGTTGATGGAGGATGATTGATAACATTTACAGTTTCTCGTCCTAAAGCTGCTGTTTACTGAAGCTCTACAATGTACTAAATCTTACCAGAGTACGTACCTGCTTTCACTTTACGCCCAGTGGAGTAATGTTCACCCAGATCAGTTGTGAGTCTGTGATTGTCCCTCTTTGTGTGGCAGGTTTGATCAGAAGGAAAGTCCTCCTCTGTCTGACAGGTGACTATTGCAGAGAACAGGTTACGGGCGTGAGCTCTAACAAGCCAAGCCAGTCATGAAGGTGCATGTGGGGTGGAGTCGAATGTGTTTGTCTATCCGTGAGTGTGTGTGTGTGCATGATAGAGGTTGCTAAGAACTCATTTTTGTTTACTCCATTTACCTTTGTTAGAGGTCATCAGCAAGCACATACTTGTGCAGGCGGCTGAGAATCAATCCTGAGAAAGAGCAAGCAGAGGGGAGACGGAGAAGACACGAGGCGCACAGAGTGGCGTACATAAATGAAGCGACTCACAGCAACAAGTCCTGTGGGAAAGCTGCTCTCATGCTCACTGGGTAGGAAAACACAGGAAGCAAAAACACACATCATTAATGTGAGAGCAAGAACAAAACACTCTCAACTGAACTAAGACAATAAACAGAGACAATGTCCTAAAAAATTAAGAAAAGTTTTGTAAAATCCAGTTTTATAATAAATAAATAAACAGGGATGTACTAGATTGTGATTTTTTAAAATTCATCTCAGATCAAATTTATGTCATAATCTGACATATATCCTGACAAAAGCTAACCTTAAAAGGTAAAAAGCTGATAGGCTATGACAGAGAGACAGTTCTCTTCATGTGTGTGACTGTAAAAGTTCTTTGCATAAATGTGAAAGTGAACAAAGAAGTGTTAAATTACATTGATTTTCCGAACCCAAGGATTACCATCAGCTGACCAGTGTCTCAATATTCAACCGCATACATGCCTTTACTCAGACAAGAGTGTGAATAGATTTCGTAACATGTCACAGAGGCGGGGAGGAGGAAGAAGGAAATTAACAAGTGTAAGAGCCAAAGTTTCACTCTGTTAGGCACTAGTGTAAATGCTCAAGCCTATTATCTGCCCAGATCCCTCTCTCTCTTTCCCCTGAAGAAACCAGTCAGACGGCCTTGCCCTGTGGCGCTGACTCTAACTGTGAATCATTAGGGTGCTGCTGGTGCAGAATTAAAACGAGAATGTAAAGTATCTGAACTTCACCTCCACCTTGTCTTCACCACACCAAGACATGGAATGACAGAAATGCGTCACCCAGAGATGACAAACCTCTATAGCAGCTAACTAACACATTAAACCTGCATACTTTGAAATCTAGGTTTTGCATCGATAAATGTTTGTCATTTTTACAACAGAGTGACTGACGGAAAGAGGAAATAGAAGTGTGATGGCACATGATGGATTGTCATTAATCCATCCCATTCTTCATTTGGCTGACAGGCCTTGAATAATATTCCAGCTGTTTGCCAAACTCGTAGAAACACATGCCACTCCAGTGACATACACTTTGTAAAAAGAGTGTCAGAATGAAGGTATGAGGTGTGAAGGCACCGACCGTCTGTCCATCCAGGGCTTACACATGTCTTGAGTCAGGGCACAGGCAGGAAAACATCACTGCGCCATGGACACACCCTGTTCTGGTTTCTCTCCTCTGGTGGGTGCTACAGAGCTCTGTAAACAAAACACACACACACACACACACACACACACACACACAAGGAAATCAAGAGTTTCTCCCCTCAGGCTGTCACTCTGGTTCAACAGTCAATGAGTGTCAGGAACAATCCCTGTGACACAAACATCCACCATGCATGTTGTACTTTTTCTGGGAGAAACACCTTGATTTCACTGTGTAAACATCTTCACTGTCAAACACAATCAATGCATGCTCTATATACTCTATATAGTCCTCTTGTACTCACCTAGCTCAAGTGTTTGAAGGAGACTGTTACATAACTTGTATAATCTATATACAAATAAAATATCTTTATATGCATGCACAGATATACTGTAGAGCACAGACAGACTCATTGAATCTGAGCAATGTAAAAACAGTGTGAACAACTGTGTATGCACACACAAACCTGACCAATATGGATCATGGTAAGAAATTTGACATTTGTGTATCAAGGAACACAAATAACGTGGCTGAATACATGTTGACACAAAACATTTGTTTCAGACAGGAGAATTTGATAAGCTTTGAAACACTGGTCACATGTCCATATGTTCACTCCAGTGGTTATATTTTGTCAATTTTAAATTCTCCTTATAGGATAAATGGTCAATTCATGGTCAATACAGACAAAAACAGCAAGAAAAACTGTTTAAAGGGCCTGATAGATAAGCAATGCGTATCTAAGACAGACATGCAAGGAGAACTACAGGTTCAAGCAACCAAATATAAAGAGGGAGGATTATGCTAATTCTGAGGCTTTCTACTGTCCTCCTGATAGCTTTGTTCCTGTCACATGATCTAGAGCTCAAAAATGTCCTCACATATCCCAGACTTTGGTTGATAAAAACCTGTTTCACTACACTCCATTTCAACGTCTCGTTAAGGTTATTAAAATTCCTCCTCCATTGATGCAAGTCCACAAGTCATTGTCATTGAGTTAAGTGGTGTTTGTCTATTTAAGATGACAAATTATGAAACATGGCCATACCTGTAGGACCAAAAATATGACCTAAAAAGTCTAAAAAGGGTCAAAAATAGTCCCAATGCCTCAAAAATTGTATTTTGCTGTTTTGTTTTTAAGTCCCTTTGAGTAGATTCACTATTTGCTTATGTCACCATTTCAGCAGACCTCATGAGGATGACTTTTGATGATCCTCATTTGGTTACACTTTTCCCACATTTAGTATTGACATTCAACATTTTAACTTTGCATATGTTTGTGAATCATAAAAAGGGTAATATCACCTCTGAGAAAAGAAAATTAGGTTGGTATCCATGATTATCTTAAATTTCTGGATAGGTATGAGGTTTGTTCTTTCCTCTCACATTCAACACAAAGAATAAAAATCGTATTCATCATTTAATGGAATGTGTTGAGGCGTTTTGACATAAACAACAGCATCTCTGTCTACAGCATTCAGGTGAAACACATGAAAATGGTTTATTAGAAAGTTTACACCTCTGCAACTTTCACAGTGTTGGATCAGAATATCTCAGCCATCATAAAAGTGCTTTCACGACCAACAAAGTTCAGTCAAACAACAGGCTGTAGTGTGTTGACACAACCCAAGACCCCATGCTGCCATCTGCTGGTTAAGATAGTACATAACTATGGAGAAAGGCACACACAATAACACACACTGGTGTTTGGATAAAGCAGTTTGTTCCCATTACTCTCAATTGTCCATTTAATGTGGCCTGGTCGTCATGAACTAACGCCTGCAGACTCTCGTGTCTCAACAGTCTTAACCTCTTCACCCTCTTCCATCAAGCCCCTTGTCGTAGATGGGGGTAGCTCTCCACGGTGCGTGCAATCCCATCCTTCAGGCTGACTATCGGTTTGTAGCCCAGGTCCTGCTTGGCACGATCACAGCTGTAGTAATGGTGGGTTCCAGCCAGGGCCACTCTCATCGGTGTAAAAGTGGGTTTAAAAGAAAACAGAGGTCGGAGGATCAGGGCCAGCAGCCAGAGGAGTAGGGCCAGTCCATATACAAGAGAGTAGGGGAGGTGGTAGCGGGGAGCAGCATATCCCAGACCAACTAGAACCTCTGACATGAAGTCCCAGAACCTGATCGGCTCATCATTAGTGATGTGGTACGGCTGAAAATGAAGCAGGAAATGAGAGATTTAAGTTGTATTAACATGAAATTAAGTTTATAAAGCAGAATGGTTAGAGAAGCACTTCCATGAGATCAGCTCTAGGTTTGTTTTTCACTTACTCTTCCACATATGGGGGAGTCTTGCCTGAGGTGTTCAGCAGCCAGGATGTGACCATGAACCACATTCTCCACAAAAGTAAAATCCACCAAATTGGTACCATCACTGAAAAAAAGAAGTCAAGCATTTAATCATTCAGGTAAATGAGTAGCCTGAACCTTGAGCCCACTGATGACTTTAATTTTAAAAGTGGGATTAGAGGGTCATGTAGGTGAGTGAGTCAGTGTGGTTTTTAAAAAGGAGGAATAGGATTTTTTTTTCTTTTTTTAATTACAGTAAAAACATAAGCACACCTGATAAATTCAATTTAAAAAATCTGGTAACACAAATGTTAGAAGGCACCTATTACACTGATTTATGTTACAATTTTGGTTGCCCCTGAACCTTCTGCCATATATGGATAATGTTAAGAGGATGAGCCCACCAGGCATCTGCACTGCGGCTCTTTCAAGGACATGCCAACCTGGAGGCGTGTGAAAATTTTCACTTGCTTATAAAATTCATTTCATTGCTCATTCTTTTTTTTCTCTGCTCTGCAATTCGTAAATTGAGTACATCCATTAAAGTTGCTCTTAAGTCTTCTTTTAGTTTTAAGAATGTCAGAGCTAGATGGACATTTTCTTTTCTGTTTTTTGTTTTAGGGACAAAGCAGCCACTTTATTGACGACTGAAACTTATGGCTATTCCATCTTTTATGGTTCCATGAAGGCTAAAAAACACGAGCAGACATTATCACAATAGCACACCCATGCTATTGTGGCTAAAAGGTGAGTTAACTCTGTGCAAGTGGCTAACCTTGGATGTTTTTTGTAACAGCACAACTTCAGTTTTTTTTTTTTCTCTTTTTTGTGACCACAAAAGATTTGTGAAAAGTTAGACTCACAAAAGCTGTATCTGACTTTACATTACTGGAAAAGCAGCCAATATGAAGCAATTCAGAGGCTGAAAAGTGTGGAAATGAGTTTTCACAAAAACAACTTTTCGGTGAATAAGGAGTTTTTTGTGCCGCACATTACACAAGGCTACTCTAAAGGTGTTCAAGACTGCCATAATGAAAGGTGAAATATTTCCGAGGTCTTTAGCTAGAATTCAGATGACCCTCATTGTCAAAACCAAACCAAATAGAAACATGAATATTGTAAATGAACAGCCCATGTACCCAAGGCCCCATCTGATGAATCCAGACTGTCTTCAACGATGTGTATGCTGAACATGTCCACAACGCAGTGACACTGACAATGAGAAGTTTTTGACTTCGCTTACAGCTGGGATAAGATGAGCTTATCTTATGCCAATTTGACTTCTTAATAATGTCGATAAGTGCAGTATCAATCTTCAAACTCCTTTGACTTACCCAATAATGAATTTCATTTTACCCCGACGGGCTGTGTCCACAAGAATGGGAACCAGCTGTGGGTCGCGAGGGCCAAAGATGCCATGAGGCCGAATGGCAGTTGTGAGGAAACCCCTCTCCGTATTACATGCCTCCAGGACCAACTAAAACACAATTGAAGTAAGGAATTATCAACTCTGGACATTACTCAAGAGAAGATTATGCAAAAAAAAGTGCTCTGACCATTTTCCCTCTGTTTGGTGTGACTGGTTGTAAAAGGAACATAAGGAGTCCATGAAAATTAGTCCCACTAAAAGGTAAAACTACGGTGTTGTGCGATGCTGAGGACAACAGACCTTTTCATCTCACGTGACAACTTAGTATTATAGCTTTGTTGAATCAAGATCCTCTGATTGTAGCTAACTTTGGTTTCAGCAAAGAAATTATTTCAATGTGCCAAATTCAAAGTCTTATTCAGTAATAAGAAAAACTTGACCCAAGTTATAAATCCTGTTTACCTACCTTCTCCTGCTCAATCTTAGTTTCTGTGTAATAGTCAATGGGCTTCCTGGCATAAGGTAGATCCTCTCTCCCATTCTTGATGTCCGTCCCTTCAAACACCACGCTGGCACTGCTAGTCAGGACTAGTTTCTGGCACAATAAGACAGGAAAAATTCTCTATTGGCAGCCTTGAACAGTAAACCTTGGGCCTAAATAAACAAAAAGAAAAGAAAACAGTGTCTCATCCCCTGGCTGCCTCACCTGAACTCCAGCCTCAATGCAGGCTTGAATGACGATGCGTGTGCCCTGAATGTTGACCCTCTCAAACAGCCCGCGGTCATCACTGGCAGGGGCTGGGGAGGCGCAGTGGAAGACCAAGGACACATCCTTCAGAGCTGGCAGCAAAGCCTGGAGCAGAGCATGACAGACACCTTAACTGCTGACAGTTATATCAGACAAGTCATTGGTCCAGACCAGGCCATTGATATTTCATGGGGCAAACGTTTAAGAGAAGCCTGCAAAACAGTTACTGTTTCAATTCTATCAGATCCTTTTCTTTTTAAGTTTAAGTAATTGATCATACACAAACTAACTGAAATCTCCTTTGAGGAGTTTTTTGTGCTTACGAAATAGACAGATTCATATTGTTTTATTTAATTAACTTCTAATGCTTTATCACCTTTATTATATATTATCATGGTTTTATCATTTTAATCCTAGGTGTTTGTGTGTGTATGCATGTGTGTGTGTGTGTGTGTGTGAGAGTGTGAGTACTGTATGTGTTGAATGGGGGTTGGAGGGATGGGTGGCTTTGGTAATTGTATTTTTATTTATTTTATTTCATTGTTTTTAATATCCTGCTTGAATAGACAGCACTTTGTGCTACATTCTTTGTATGAAAAGTGCTTCAATTATAAAGTTTGATTGATTGATTGATTGATTGATTGATTGATGCCTTTATTTGATAGACTCACGTAAACAAGACCATCAGTGATCAGATTCATATTGTTTTTGTTGTCTTTGTCAATGCCTAGAACGGTTGATTGGGGAGTAATTGTCAGTACGGAAAAAAAAGCTCTTTCTTGCTCATTAAATATTTACAATAAATAATAGACTTGACTGTCAAAAGTCAACAATATTGAGGCTTTTGGTGAAAAATCATTACATTGGCATGTAGAGGACAAGACAAGCAAAGACTTTGTCAACAGGGGGTGCCAAAATTGACACACACTTAAAGTTCCTCAGTAGCCTAAAGTCCTGAAGTGATTATTTCTCAATAAAAGCTCTTCATAATGGCGTCTTTTTTAGTTAGGATTATAAAATGTTATATTGTCTGACTTGAGTTTTTGGTCTAAAATTAAAAACATAAATAGGGATTCATTTTTCTTTCCCAGGCTGAAGAATCATTTTGTTAGAGACAGGTAATTTAAAAGATAGTTATACAACAACAGCAACAGAATATATTAAAATACACCGACAAAAATTTACAACAAAACCAGATAGTTCATTGCAATATTCCAAGAAAGATATCAGGATATATTTGTAGATTAAATGATACAGAAATATACTCATAGTCCTGGACAAAAATGTAAAAATCAGTGTAAGTTATTTAAAAAGCCAGGGTCCATATTTTGTGGTTGAAGTCTGACTCGTGGATCCCTGGTCCAGTTAAAGAGGAGTCTCACCTGTTTGTCGCAGAGGTCTCCCTGGTGGAAAGTCACACCGGGCAGCTCGTAGCTCTGACGGATGTCAAACACGGATACAGAGTATCCTCTCTCCAACAGCTTCTCAACCAGGTGTCTGCCTAGGAAACCTGACCCTCCGATGACCGCACATCGTTTACTGCTCTGTGTGTCACACAGACGTGTATTTAGAAAATCATGTTCAGACAATTGGCAGCACATGAATATCGCGGATTAAAGCAAATTTACGTTAAAAAAAGGTTAAACTCACCGGTCGAACTCGTGTGGCCATAATGACTGAATACAACACACAGGTTAGGGACGTTGTCGGGGTCAAACACGAGCACTTAGATGGGGGAGTGTTCTTGTTGGGGTGTTAAAGTTGGAAAGTAACATTGAGCATAACTACTCTGTTTACCTGCAAACGGTGAGTGCAATTCGACCGCGTACGAACCATGAATGAGCTGAGGAGAGCTGCTCTGTCATTGGTCAAACTCTAACTCAGCATAATACGACACTGGAGAACAACCAATAGGAAGAAGACTACGTCAAAGAACGCCACACTTTTAACCAATGAGGAAAGGAAAAATGATTCCATCCGCCTCCAGGAACCAAGACCCCGCCCACTAATAATGTGTCAATGGTGTCAATGGTGTCCAAAGGACGGTGCCAAAGCTTTATTTTGTGAGTTTATAAACCTTTATTTATTTAAAATGTTTGTTTGGTTCATGAAATAATCATGTAAAGTAACAAGAGAAAAGATGAAGTAAACAATCAAAAAGGAGATGGTTTAATTATGTGTAAAATTGCACAACTTCTTTCTACAACTCAAGCAATAGGACCAGAGCCGGCCCAAGCCTCAATGGGGCCCAGAGCAAAATTTGATTTTGGGGCCCTCTATTTCTGCCAATAATATTGATTGTTGATCATTCACACACCTACTACAGTATAAATTTAATGCACCTGACATGTCTTTACAAATTTTAAGGGGGTGGCCTAGGTAATAACATAATTAAAACCAATGCAAACATACAAATGATACCAGTGAATGACTGATGAAGGAGGCACATAACGGTAGCGGAGCTTTGATATATCGACAGTAGGAATCATAGGCCTACATTAGCAGCAGCACTAAAATGTTTTTATTTTATTTTTACAATAATATATATTTGATCATACAGAGAGCATTACTCATACATGCAAAAAATAAAAAATATATATTTTTATTATATATATTTTTGATTGCTCTTGGGGGGCCCCCCACCAGCTGCGGGGACACAAATGTTGAAAATAATCTGGCTGGCCTCCTACTGGCATAGTACATTCATAACAAAGCCAGTGTTGTGTGGAGGCTTATTTGCAGGGTAACAAGAGCTTTATGCAAGGGCCCTTTAAGAGCTCACACAATGTTGACTGAAAGTTATTTGATATATTTGGTCTATAAGCAAGTATGAATGTTTTCCTGACTGCATATTTTATTCTTTTTTTTAGTAACACTTTACAATAACCATAATTTTAAAATGGTAAATAGATAGTTTGTTAATGTTTAATCATCATTTAAAAACAGCATATAGACCAATTATTAATGGCAAATAGATAGTTTACTAATGTAAATTAATAGTTACTTTACCATTAACAAGCGATGAAGTTATGATTAATAATTTTCATTAATTATTAAAGGTTTATATAGGGTTTGAATATTGGTTGTAAAACACCTAGATTAAAATGTGTCAGTAGCACTTTGTAAATGATTAGTATTTGGTTTTTAAACCATCTATAAACATTACTTAGATGGTTTTTGTAAAGTTAGGGTTTGCTTTTTAAAATTGTAAAATTTAAAATTTATTAATGGTCTTTATGTTATTTATAAATGATGATAAAACATGAATAAACTACCTGCTTACCATTTATAAATGGCCTATTTACCATTTATAACTTATGGTTATTGTAAAATGTTATTCCTTGTTTTATTTGTTTGGTTGTTTATTTAAATCTGCATTATTAACCATGGAGTTTCTCAGCCTATAGACATGTCGATCGTGTATATTACACCCCGTGACATCCAGGAACCAATCAGCTTTTTGCCCGTTAGATGTGTTCGATATTGACTCCCGCTTATACCGGACTAAATGTTGGCTCAATACCTCAACGAATTTACAGGGATTCGCTCGGCTGCGGGCACTCAACGTCTACAAATCAAACACCCTGACTCCATGACAGCAAAAGCTTATTCAACAGCAAAACCTGTACATTTGGTAGAAACGTGTCATTTTTGGCACAAAAGCGGATGCCCCAGAGGCAATAATAGGTCTAAAAACTACCTCAAATGTGGAGTAAACAAGAGATTAAGTGCGAGTAGCTGGTGTGAAGCGTGAACCGTTTTATCGTCTCCTCCTCCCCAAATGATAGGGAGGCATCATCGGCAGAGACAAACAGCGATTGAAAAATAGATTTGTAGTGTTAACGGCTATCAGGTACAAAGAAACTAATGGTGAGTAACTGCGTTTTATTACGATCTTATGAATGCAAACCTAATGTATTTAAGTTCACGGTATTTACATGGGGAAACAGTCGTTTTTCTGTAGAGGTGTGGGGAAAAGCTACATGTACTCCCACCTAATTCTGTCATCATCGGAGAAATCGTGACTCCTCTGTCTGCAACCAATCAGTGTTTTCTATTTTTTGGCTCATTCAGGCGACCAGTGCCAAGAGACCTTCCCTGCAGGGTCCTGTGCCCCCTCCCCGAAAGAAGACAACCCCCAAACCAGAGCTGACCGAGGAGCAGAAACAGGAGATCAGGGAGGCCTTTGAACTGTTTGACACGGATGGATCTGGATACATTGATGTCAAGGAGCTCAAGGTAAATGTGTTGAAACACTGTGTGGGTGAAAATACATGTGGCCTTGTCTGTGTGTTTCACTCTTCCCCTTTCTTTCACTGTCTCAGGTTGCGATGAGAGCTCTGGGTTTTGAACCAAAGAAAGAGGAGATTAAGAAGATGATTGGTGAAGTGGATAAGGACAGCACAGGGAAGATATCCTTCGTTGATTTCCTCACTGTCATGACACAGAAAATGGTACACATCTGCTCACAAATACACTTGAATGGCCAAAGATAGTATGATATACAGGGGTTGGACAATAAAACTGAAATGCTTGGTTTTTAGACCACAATAATTCAAGTATGGTGTGTAGGGCCTCCTTTTGCGGCTAATACAGCATCAATTCGTCTTGGGAATGACAGATACAAGTCCTGCACAGTGGCCAGTGAGATTTTGACCCATTCTTCTTGCAGAGTAGTGGCCAGGTCACTCCGTGATGTTGGTGGAGGGAAACGTTCCCTGACTTGCACCGCAAAGACCCCCCAAAGTGGCTCAATAATATTTAGATCTGGTGACTGTGCAGGCCACGGGAGATGTTCAACTTCACTTCCATGTTCATCAAACCACTCTGTCACCAGTCTTGCTGTGTGTATTGGTGCATTATCATCCTGATACACAGAACCGCCTTCAGGCTACATTGTTTGAACAACTGGGTGCACATGGTCCTCCAGAATGGTTCGGTAGATCCTTTGCAGTGACGCGCTCATCTAGCACAAGTATTGGGCCCAAACCAACCCCTATGCTTCACTCTGGGCATGCAACAGTCTGGGTGGTACGCTTCTTTGGGGCTTCTCCACACCGTAACTCTTCTGGATGTGGGGAAGACAGTAAAGGTGGACTCATCAGCGAACCATACATGTTTCACATTGTCTACATCCCAAGATTTACGCTGCTGGCACCATTGAAACCGGTGTTTGGAATTGGCACGAGTGACCAAAGGTTTGGCTATAGCAGCCCGGCCGTGTATATTGACCCTGTGGAGCTCCCAACAAACAGTTTTGGTGAGAACAGGAGAGTTGAGGTGCACATTTAATTCTGCTGTGAGTTGGGCAGCTGTGGTTTTACGCTTTTTGGATACAATCCGGGTTAGCACCCAGACATTTAGCCATGAAACCTCCAACACTAAATTGGCAGGTGTTTCAGTTTCATTGTCCGACCCCTGTATATTGATAACAGATTGTAATCAACATAAATGTGTATAGTAGTACATAAGCACATTGTCCAAAGAATTTAAAAACTGTATTAAGGCGAGACATGCAATTTTATAGACTGGGTAAAACTCTTCTCTCAAACTTTCCTGATTTTAGGCTGAGAAGGACTCCAAAGAGGAGATCCTGAAAGCTTTCCGCCTGTTTGACGATGATGAGACAGGCAGGATCTCCTTCAAGAATCTAAAGAGAGTAGCCAAAGAGCTGGGAGAGAACCTCACAGATGAAGAGCTGCAGGTAAACCACATAAACTGAGAACAACACCATGCGCTACACAGGTGACTTCGTCTTCCTTTCGAGTTCCTTCTTTCATTTACATTTTTTTGTGTTTTCCAAAGGAAATGATCGCTGAAGCAGACAGGGACGGAGATGGAGAAGTGAACCAGCAGGAATTCTTGCGTATCATGAAGAAAACCTGCCTATATTGAAAGAAAGTGCATGACATCAGGGTTGGAGACGCACTACACTGAGGGAGCCAGTGGTGGTTTTACTTGTAATGCTGCTCATAGATCTACTTCTGTCTACAGATTTGTCTTTCCTCAATGTTGTGTTGTGCCAAATGTTTTGGTTCAGTTTAAGGTTAACTATATAAAACTGAAGACAGTTAATTACCATTGTTTGATTCTTAAGATATTCCTTATCACATTTGCCAATCAGTGAGAGTACACCCTTTCTAGTTTGCAATGCTGCATATCTTGATGATATTTATGATAAAATGTAGGTTATTTATTGTTGAGAAATACTCAGTGCCTGCGTCAATACGGTGACAAACACAGTACATTCCATTGCTTTAGTTTGGAGACAGCAGTTTGTGCTTCCATGTTCCTTTTTTTTGCAGACTGTTTGTTTTCCTGGTTACTACACTGTTTCATACTTTTGCTCATGTTTGATTTTAGCTGTTTGGTAGCAGCACTCATGGTTTAGGAACGCTGTCTCACTTCAGTGCTACCTGTAGATTTGTGCCTGTGCCTCTATAAAGGGTTAATTACTACATCAGGGAAGCTGCCTAAACCTCGCTGACCTGCACATCCAAGTTTTATTTTTCTTGTAGCATTAAGTATTTATCCCTCTGCTGGTTAAATCTTTTCCTCTGAATGTTTTGTATAATACAGAGTGACTTTAAAGAGAAGATATTCACTGCTTGTGAGTGTTTTAAGTACAGATTAAATATGAAGCATTGAAGCCTTTTGCCTTGTCCTTTAATCATAACTTTTGAGGATTTAAGAGTAATCAAACATTTGCAACTGTATTTTCTACACATCAACAGTTTTTCTTTGAAATGGAAATAACTTGCATGAAGAGACTTGTTCCTTAGCATCCTGACTCAAGTTATCTTACCTTATAAATCCTACAAGCAGAGGAGGTGCTGAAAAGTGATGACAAAGTTCACTCTTAATGCAGTTTATGTTGATGTTACGATTTTTAGGGTGGGATCTTCGGAAAACGTAAGCTAAAGCAGGAACTGACTGAATTATGTTCACATTTGTGACTATTACAACACACTGAAGGACAAACAGTCTGGTCTTTGTTGTGATCTGCTGCACTGTTCTTGTGTAATTACAGACACATGAAAACAGTCACAAATCAGTATCTATCCGTTATTGCCCACTCAGGCTGGTGTGTTTATCCAATCTGTATGTGCCCAAAGAAATGTACTGATTCCTTGATAAAAGCATAGAAAGTTAGACATAAGGTCAGAGATATACTACTCTTCCTGGATATTCAAAGAGCTCCACACTATGAGGAACTGCTGGGCTAAACTATTTAGCATCGCTTCGTAACAATTTTGTTCAAAACTGTAGATACACCCCACATCATATCTATTACAACGCTTAAACAGTAGGAAACTTGGATATAAATCAGAGTCCAAGTTTTGACTGACAAACAAGAAAAAGTCAGTATGGTAGTGAAAGTGCAGCTGACAAACCTTCTTACCCTTGTAACAGGGTGGTGGATGAAGAGGATGATCCCCATGTCAAGTACTGTCACACCATTGTAGGCATCCAAAACAGGAAGCTCCTTGTGATCTTTTTCCTGTTGAAATAGACCAAAGCACTTAGTAGCTTAAAATATCACCAAAAATCAGTCATCTCGGATGGGAAAAAGTGTAGACTTACCCTCATATTAGTTTACAAAATGGACACGTTCAGAAATAATAACCCTGTGAAATGTGATGGACAAGCACTACTTCCACAAAGAGCCAGGGTGTATAAAGATAAAGTGTTGTTTTTTGCAGATCAGTCATCAGCTTAGAGTAGTATAAAATGTAAATTTTATTTATGAAATTCATAAAAACATACCAGAATTAGACAACAATTACAATTAAAAGTATGCCAGTGTGACAGTACAGCACAAATTCCCTTTGAAAATGATTTATGATCCTGGGGACATCATGTGGTACGAAATTTATCGCTTAATGCTGCCTCAAACACTACAGATACACACTGGCAAACAACAACCTGAATTTGCTGTTGAGGCTCAAATTTTCAAGTAACAGCCTTTAATCACACACTGATAAACACAGAAACAAACACAGATTTGATATTAACAATCACAGCAGCTAACTCATGAAAGAATTGAATTAAAGAGGTATTTCAGAATCGGAACAGTTTCCTTCACTTTCAGCTTTGACTGAGTTTCGTCTTGGAAGCAAAGTCTGCGCTAAGTTTACGCATCACTTCTGCGTGACTTTGTCCTGCTAGCTCCTGACGTACAGTCCCATAATTCTCTTTGACAAAGTTGGCGAAAGGCGTGGGAGCACGGGGCTTTGAGGGCGTCAGTAAAACCAACTGGCCTGTGCAGAGAGCACACACAAACCTCTGCGTGTCCAGAGACTTGGAGTGTCGCCCGATTCTGTGGAGAATTATGAGTAAGTGTTACAAGTTGAAAACAGACTGAATGTGAATAATGGAGAAAAATCTGATGAAAATGGTTTTGAATAAATCTGCAGCTAGTGACGTACGTATTCTTGCAGCGGGTGCACTGGTACTGGAATTTGTATTTGATGTCGTAACTATGGCAGCGAGTGACCATAGGCAGCTCGGGATGTGCCAGTGTGGCCTTGCGAGCGTATAGCTTCCAGAAACTTCCATGCCCATCCCTTACACCATTAATAAGCCAGGTGGCAGCGTGACACATCTCATGAACCAGTGTGTCTCTGAGGCGATCTGTGAGAGCAGAGTGAGAATGAAGAAAGTGAAGATGAGTCAGAATGAGGATACATACAGATTTGATTTTTCACACCACAAGAGCATGACAGTCTGTATCAACAACGTGAGAGAATGTTAAAATATTATTAAAGCATTACCTGCAGAATCACAGACTTTCTCTGACAATTCAATACGTGCGTAGCGACTTCCTCCACCTCTCTCCTGCCCTGTGACGCAGTAACCTGCTGTTTTCCGCATTTTCTTATTCCAAGTAACTGACATATCAGTGGGGAGCTACATGTCATGATAAGGAGTGAGAAAACAAACAACTCAACAAGGAAAAGTCAAGTATTCATAAATACAGAGGTAAATTTCAAGGATAGCATGATCTCTTAAATATATCAGTGAAGAAAAGAAAAAAGCTGTCAATCACCTTGCTGTCAAACACAGAGGTGTTATACAGCCGGAAGAGTTTGCTGGTGAGTTCTTCTTTGTTCTGCTTAAAATTGCGACCATAATTGGCCCCGGGATTTGACAAAGACTGCAAGAAGCATCCTGGGGTCTTGCATAATGCCACCCTAGAAAGAAAGGAACAGGGAAAATGAGAAGAGACAAATATCTGTGTATGAAATACAAACAAAGCAAGTGACGTAATGAAAGCTGTTGTAAACAAACTACATGATAAATCATTGTAGTTTGTTTGTCTGTACATTACACACAGAGGTCTATAGTTGTACCTGCTGGTGGGGCCTGGTCTCGGCTCTGTCTGACTGACTGTGGGCTTCAAGATAGTGGGTTTTCCTGGTGTCTTCATCTGCAACGGTTCATCAGAGTGTTTCAAGGCTGGTGTTGTAAGCCCTTTCACACGAGGAACTGACACAGGATGCTCCTTATTGCCATCTAGACAGAGCCAAGATATCAGCGATGCTCCATAGAAACAGCACAAGAACAATAGTGAGACTCTGCTGTAATGCCAGTCTGAATGCAGTACTTACCATTGGTGTTTCTCTGGGAGAGTGGCGTACCCATGCCCTTGTTTTTCCTTTTCAGTCTCTCAAGTAAAGATATCAACTCTTCATCTGAGCTATCAGACTCCTCCAGCTTTGAAGGTGCTGAAAATGTGCGTTTCGGAGAGGCCAGAGAGGGGAGGGTTCTGTGAACGGGAACTGTAAAAGGGGAAGGGATGGACAGCAAAGGCAGCGATGGGGGACTGTCCTCTTCATCACAAGGCAGAGTATTACTCTTTGTGGTCTTTTGCAGAGGCTTTTGCTTTGACTGGCGAGTCCTCCATGTGCTCTTAATCACAATTTTGTCATCATCCTCGTCACTGTCACTTATAAAGACTGGGGAGTCACACTGTGAAAGAGGTTTCCTTGAAAGATGCTTGGCTGTTGGAGTATTGCTCCTCTTGGGTACTGCAAAAGAGTAAACACAAAACGTCACCACAAATCTAGTCATAGGTTGATTTCTTTTTCTACTTAAAACATTCATAAGAACTATAAAGAAAACCAAACTGACCTTTGTAAGATGATTTTGGCTGAATAAAGTCCTCATCTGATGACAAATCATCCACGATGAAGTTTTTCAAACTTTAAAAACAAAACAAAGATAGAGAACTTAAGTTTTCAGAGAACTAAAATATGTTTAAAGAGAAATAATCAAAGACATACCTGTCTTCACTTCCACTTTTCGATATTTTCTTAGGCTCTGCTTTAGGGGTTTTCATTCGATGGAGAACTTCAGCATGCAAAACAAGCATAAATAAGGGTTGAATCTAGCTTATGATGTGTAAAGTGTTTCACTTTTCATCTGTTTAAACTCAGACTCACTTCTTGCCAAAGATAACAAATACAGACAAAGAAAGGCCACTTACATGTCTCAAAGATGCAATCATCGTCAGAGCTGGATACAAGAACAGTGGAACTAAAAGATATGTAAAAAAAAGACATTACATAAATGTTAAAACTAAATAACCAAGACGAAATGAAGCTTTTCAAACATACCTTTCTTTCTTTACAGCACTGTGTGGTCTTTGTATGGTTTGTTTAACTTTAGGTGTAGCCGCCCGAACAAGAACTGTGAGAGATGAAAAGGTGAAATCAAATAAATATTATAGTCATATCAAAACATAGTAAAAACTATTCATACAATTCCATCACTCACACTGGTCAAAGTCATCATCACTTGACTCAGTCAAGTTCTTTGTTCTGTAGTTGTTGCCCATGGAGTGCTGGTTCTCCTTGTCCAAATCATCTTCCCGGTCAGAGAGGACAGGCTGGACTGGAGAGGCTGATGGAGCTACGGGTTGATTTCCACTTGTAGCAAAATGCCGTGTCTTGCCAATTTCACTGATCAGCTAGACAAACGCAGAAAGACATGTTTTCATGAGCACTCTTATTACCTCAAATATATTAGCTAATGACTTTCTTTGTAAAACAATAGCTCACTTTATCAGGGATTTTAGGGATGTATTGAATCATTTGAGCACTGTTAACCCTTTATTGCTTCTGGTATTACATTTGATACATACTTTTATAATACTTCTATCAATCAATATGATCAACAAATTACTTAAATCTTACTTTATCAGTTTCCAAAAACATCAGACGTATCAAAAAAGATAAATAAATATTTGCAAAATTCTAAGGACATTTTGATTTTTTGGGGTTTTCAGTAGTAGGTGAAATAAACATTTCAGCGCCAAAAAATTTTAATTTTCTGGCCAAAATCTGTGGTTTCAGGCATTATATGATTACAGTAGTTTTAATTTGAAATCCACAGTGAATATCTGCATTTAATACATGCTCAGAAATTAATCTGATCCTCTAATACCCTCAGAATAATCTCTCAGTTGTTTACCTGACAGTGTCAATAGAATATCTTAAACTATAAATGGGAATTTCCCCTTGTGGGACGAACAAACATAGAATATCTTATCTGATCTTAAAGTTTAAACTGATGTTTTAGGGTGCCTCTTGTATATTTTAAGTATTTATGAACCTTTTTTTCTGCAGTTTCCAGACCTCCTCCGTCAGTCCATCCCATCTTTGAAGCCACTCTTTGAAAAAGTTGACGGGTTTCATCGTTCATGTTTCCCTCTGCTCTGAGAAAGAGGTGCATATAACGACATGTCAGTCCTTTAACATTTAAAATCCACCGCCAAAGCTAAGGGCATCACACAATCGACAAAAAACCATGCAGTATGAGTATTGCTTTGAGTATCTGTTGCTAAGGAGTCACAAAGGCCGCTTTATTGTATCTAGAGACGTTAGCGTTGGGAGTTAGCAACGAGCTAGTCGAGATAAAGGTTATAGTTGGACATAAACTGACTTTCGAAAATAATTTCCGTGAGTTTAAATTGAATGAACACATCTACATGTATGACGCTATGCCCTTAAAACTATTCTATGCATGAATTTTGATTACCAAATCCGAATAAGGTGGTTGAGGGTTTCGCGATGAAAAATTCGAATCTTGTACACTTTTAACTCCGGAAGTTGTCACTGCACGTTCGACCAATCAGGGAGGGGTTCAGCTGACGTATGTGCCTGCGTCGCTCCTTTCATATTTACATACACCTCATACATTTCGATATTATCACTTTTATGTTAAAACGTGTAAATAAACATGACACCACAAGTAAATGTATCAGATCGACTTTTTCAATTAGAAAAATATTCACCAAAACATTGAAAATTTTGATTTAAGTATTCATAAATACACGGCTTTGACTCAAGTGGACAACACGTTCATTTGACTGTCAAAAGGATATTCCGGCGTAAAATTAAGTTAGTGTGAAACACACCGTAACACCGAGTTAGTCACCCCCTCGAGAGATGAATGTTGCCGACCGCTTACTTCTCTAGTTATACCAACTTCAGTAACGATAGCAATACAGAGAGCCACGCGCTCAACCAAAACGTCACTCTATAGCCACAAATAATGCTCAGTACAGCACCTAACTTCATCAACAATACATATGGGGTCCCAGCCATAGTACTAACCACCAAACATGTTTTCAGCTTTGCTTAATTTCTTTAGCAAAGAGACTAATCACAACTCACCTACTCTCTTCCAGCAGCAGCTTGTTTGTACGGAGACCTCCAAGCGAGGCCATCGACTTCATCAGGGTGACGCAGCTCAAGGAACAACATTTATGATCATTACTTTAGAATTTCCTCATCCTATTAATCATTTTGCACTGCAGACGTGGCAGTTCTTCTGCCTTAGCGTCTCTGTCTGATTGCATTTCCATTAAGTAATAATCCTAATCAGGTCTCCGTTCAAACAAGCGGCTGCTGGAAGAGAGTAGGTGAGTTGTGTTTAGTCTCTTTGCTAAAGAAATTAGGCAAAACTGAAAAGATGTTTGGTGGTTAGTACTATGGCTGGGACCCTATATGTACTGTTGATAAAGCTAGGTGCCGATTTCTACCAAATCTAAACTCTCATTCTGTGCTTGCTAATAAAAACCAAACAAAAAAACAGGCTGTTTGAGTTAAATCTTTATTGAATCCAGCAAAGATAAAATCAAGTGAGTGCAGTAGACAGAACAGAGTTTGCCATCTCTTTATTTTTTTATAATATCTGGAGCTTGTGGCATTGTTGACAGCATTCAGTTGAAGGACAATAAAAAAAGAAAAACGCATAGAAAATACTTACCTAGGCCGATCCTGGTTTAAATGATTAAAAAAACAAGATCAATTTCTGTTTAGGTCTGACAGTTAAATGAGAATTAGGCCCTTTATAATAATTTGAAGCTCCTGTCCAGCTTTGTCCAATCACCCTTACAAGCTAAATTTGACATCAAAACAGGACGACAGCCACTAAACATATTCAAAAAAAGCCATCAGAGTTGGCATTTGGTGAGAGGGAGACATCTTCATCTAGACCATATTCCTCCAAACTTGCACATTTACTCAGAAATTTTATGATAGCTTAAGACAAACTAAAGAGCAGTCGCAACCTATGTTTTACTATTGCGTGTTAAAGCTGATGAAACTCAAGTCAGTTACAATTTCAAGGTGCAACATTGTCCTTTTTTTAAAACACACAACATTCTGAATCCATTTATAAATAGATCAACAATTACTGATGGCAGGGCATTCTCTCCACAAGCTGCAACAAGTCTTGTATGCACACTGACAAGAAAAAAGAAATCCACTGATCCAAAAAGTGAAGGGGTAAGCACGGTATTCACAATCCTCTCATGCTCACCAAATATACTGTTTTATGGGGAAAGAGTCTCAGATGTGCTGCCTGAAAGTCTCAGGCTTACCTGGCTCAAAAATCACGTGTGTGGTGCAGTGGTGAATGTTTTGAGGGAAAATATGTACATCTGATGGCTCCTTCACAAATAAAGAGTTCCATTACATGAGAGGTGGAGACTATCATCCAGGGAGAAGGCTGAGGAGAAAACTGACTATTCCAGACTACGGTGCAGACAATGTTAAAAAAAAAAAAAGATTAGGATAACTGGATGTGGTTTGGATAGGAGGGAAAATAACTGCGTGCTTCAAGTTCAGGCATTTTCACCGGCTTCTATTGTTTGGACCAGGTGCTCTGGCTTGTTCCCGTTGCTGTGATGCTCCCACATCTGCAGATATAGCCTCTCCAGGTCCACTGTGTACTGCTTGGTGTTGAAGAGGGGGCTGCAGATTCGCTGCTTCCAAACACGGGCCCTCATCATCTTCAGGCTAAAGCAGATAAAAAGAAAGTGAAGTCAACGCGTGTTTTCGAGGTTTTAAAACAAACAAAAAAAAAGACAGGAGGATTACTTACTATTCCATGTCAGAGCCCAGTTTGACTGCAATGTCTTCATAGTCCTGCCGACTCTGGGCTATTAATTCAGGGCAGCCCAGACAGCTAAGTTGTGATGCAGCCACGCGTGAGGCGAGGGTCTCACCTGGACAAAGATATTTTAACATTAAAAAGCAGCCAGATTTAAAACTCATCCTATTGTAATATAAATGCTTTCAGATTATTCTTAATCACAAACAAGAAGCAGTGGATTTAGGCTTGTCCAATTGGTACTACGGTGCAACTACCTGGCATGGTAACCATGGGTGTTCCAGCCCAGAGGACGTCCATGCCTGTAGTGTGACCATTGCATAGAGGAGTGTCTAGGCACACATCAGCCAGCTGGCCCCTTCTGACGTGCTCCTCCTTGGGGGCCACGGGAGAGAAGATGATGCGAGAGCCAGGCAGACCCATATTCTGGGCATACTGCTGGATGTTGGGCTCGCCAACAGCAGGGAAACGGAGAAGCCACAACACACTGTTGGGCACACGCTTCAGGATCTGCAGAGAGCACAGAGGTTTGAAGTTGATTTACAGCACAGATTAAAAAAAATAGTCCTGTGGTAGACTGGTGACCAGTTCTAACACCCCTCTTGCCCGCTGACAGCTGGGACAGGCTCTAGATCCCCCATGACTGCAGAAAGGATCAACGATAAAGATAATAAAGGGAAGGATGAAGGGTAGAAAAATTTATTAATATAGGAGATGTTGCAATTTTTAACCAATTAACTCAACTTACATTAACCCACATCTGAAGAGTAGGGGGATCAATTTTGTAGAGCTGGTTGAAGTTGCAGTAGACAATAGAGTCTTCTGGGAGTCCATACTGGGAACGTGTCGTCACCACGATTGTGCGTGGTACCTCCTCTCCAGTGGCAGCTTTGTTGTTGATCTGAAACAGGGGACCAAAACGTGTGACTTTGTGACGCAGATGCTTCACACGAGGGTTTTAAGTCTCCATTGTTTGAACCACATAACAGTGCAGAGCCCGTGACAAGATACTCTAACTTGAAAGCTTATCCATTGTTCCACCATAAACCACACCAACAGCCATGTGCCTCCTCCAAACTTTTATGAAAACCTCATACCTGTAGAGACAATATCTCAGAGGCTATTACCACATCTGTGATCTGAAAAGCAGTTTTTCCAAACTCAGTCACTAAATCTCTGTCCCTTCATTTGTTCATGTCTTGTATTAATGATACACACTTCAGATTTGGATAATAGTAGACAAATTTATTCAAGCAGGACATACCTGAGTTGTGGCAAGACCGTTGCTGACGGTGAAGCCGTTGATTGTAACCTGGATTTGGCCTTGGTTGATCATGTTGATGATTGCTTCAGCTGCTGTGTTCATCGGGATCACAGGCATGGACAGGGCTCCGTTAGTATCCCCGGAGGCCTCCTGGTTGTTGTCGCACTTCATCTGGTCGCAGAAAAGTTTTTATTTCAGTCATTCAACAAATTGATAATGTAATTAATACATTTAAATGATTTCAACACCAATTTAAAAATAAAAACTGGTGGACAAATACTGTGAAGCTATCATTGTTCAGGCCTGCTCTATTACTGTATGTCAGTCAGCATTTTAATGTCACAGGAAGTCAAAGAAGCTAGCTAGTAGAGCAACGTTTAGCCACAGGGCCCCACTCACACTTAAAAAATAAATAAAGGAAAGAGGATCTGTTTGATAGAATTAACTAATTTCCTCACTCACCTTTATCACCTTCACATCTGGCAGACTGTCTAAGAAGGCTTTCAGATCAATACCATTGAGAACGATGCGATTGTCGAAGATGTGTCCGTTGGACTTGAAATCAATCACTGCTTTTTTCTGTGGGTCAAAAACGAGAAAATAATGTTTCTTACAAACAGATAAAATTGTTTCTTTTCTTTTGCCTTATTTTGTTTTATCTTTGTCCGTGTGTGAAAATAATGTTGCCTTTACGTTGTCTTTTGTATCATTTTCACACTTTCTCTATGATTAACAAAAAAATAAAAACTACTGTTCTTTTGTTTGTTTAACAAAAAGCAGCAGTGTGAAGAACTGCGAACCTTGAGGTGAGGGAACATGTTGGCATGGTCTCCAATGAAGAAAGTGTGTGGCATGTAGGCCAGTTTCTCAGAATACTGCTCTGCTACTTCTACGGGTGATGTCTCTTTGTCAGAGATGATGTAGTCCATGAAAGGTGCCCCACTGGTTCCAGGGTAACCCAGCCACATAGCCTGTTGAACAGAGAGAAACTATTACCTGTGCATTCTGAACTTCTTGTGCTCTATCAAGTTATCGCTTTAATCTCATAAGGACCGTATACTCTTGCACATGTTTCTATGTAGCTTAATCTTGATTTATACCCTCACCTGAATAGGGGCAGGGCGGAGGGCAAACAGCTCATTCCGAGCTCCCTTGGTGTATCCGTTCATGTTGACCAGGATGTGGACTCCATCCTGGTGAATACGATCGGCTGCCTTGCCATTGCAAGGAATCTTAAAGAGACAGGTCAACGTTTCAGAAAAATACTTTTGTTCACCAACTTTATACAGTCAACTTCAAAACATGCATACAACTGTCCAACAAACGCTTCTCAGAAACCCACTGCAGATGTAAAATCATGCCATTACTCAGCAGCTCTGCGGGCCCAGGGCTTTACCATCTAAATCTCAATTTTTTTTTGTTTGTTTATTTGCAGCTGCTTTCTAACTTTGTGGATTTTTGCTGTCTATGCAGTTGTTTTAGCTTTTGCAGCATGTTGTTTTGCACTTGCTGCACTTTCCACCATCGTGTTTGTTTTGGTCTCTTTCCATGTGTTTCTGCAGGTGCACTTGTAATGTGTTTTTCCAGTTGAAGATTGTTTGGGCCATTTCAGATCATTTGCCGTTGTCAACCTTTTTAAATTTTATACAGGACAACTCTTGAGTAACACAACATTATGACTCCTTGGAATTTCTAGCAAATTAAAAACCGAACAAAATGTATACTGATGCTTTTCTTTGACCTGTAAATGTCAGCCTGATCATTATCATACTGATCATTTCTAAATACCCCTTTTTTTATTTCTGAAACTGCTGGTGGAGGATAGGTATCATGCAACGTGACCGACTTCCCCCAGCTAATACAGTCCAACTTTTTTCAACTGCAGATGTTCTTGATAAGCAATACAGGTCACTGAACAGATCATAGGATAAGGTTTTTAAACTAATAAACACAACTTATCAAACGGTCTAAATCAAAGAGGCACTGCCTTATTCACAGAGGGAGCAAAAATCAATATAAAATGAAAAATCCTAACAGAGGCATTAACAGCTGATAGGTACTCAATAAATACACAAACGATACTAGACAGAGAGATAAGGTCAAAACACGTACCTGTGAGAGGTCAGTGAAGTGATGAGCCTCAGCTACCACCTTCACACGGAAGTTGGTGCTATCATCAGGGCTGAGTGCATAGCAGAACACCTGGAAAGTTGAAGAAAAACACTCTGCGTTAACACCTTTTGTGTTGCATTTACACACTTGGAATTTTTACTGGTCTCCCACTGCGATGAGGACCACATAAACCTCTTTATTTGTACAGCTGATAATATATCAAATTCTGCCTGCCTCAAATTTCTCTGGATTGTGCATTCCAGGAATAGACTGCATCAGGTGAGAAGTAGGGTGGTTGCCAAAGTCAGAGCTGACGTATCCAACACGCAGACGTCCACCGCTGGCCTTCAGATCCTTCGGGTGCTCAAAAGCAGGTTTGTGCAGTGCATTAATCTGTAAGAGAAGCAATGTATGTCAGAATACAACTACAGCAGGTAACTCTGTGAAACAATTCTAGTTTAACTGATCTAAACAAATTGTAGCAGTACTGACTTGGATAACTACTGTGGACTTATCCGAATTCTATTTCACATTACACCACAGTCCCAATCCCTGCAAGCAGCCCATTCACCTCTTCTATTCACCTCTTTTTCTTTGATCTAAAAAAACACTGCCTGGTATTTTTCCCATCCCTTACCTTCCCCATATTGCTGCAGAGAGCCACTGCCATCACCAGCCACCTTCCACCCCCCCGGCCCAAAAAATAATTAAAGGTTACTTGCTTTGATCATTGCGTGTACCTTGTCCAGGCAAAGGTTTCCATGGCGTTCGGCAATGGCCTTGCGGAAGCCATGAGAGAGCGGGTACAGCATGCTGTGGTGTGGGTGCACCGAAGGCAAGCGGTTCTTGTCCAGCTGATCGGCCACAATGCTCACAAGCTTCTTCATGCGCTCATCATAATCTGTCCAGTCACACACAATCTGCAAGAGTGACAGGCATTTTCACTTTAACAACCTGAAAAGATGACGGAGTATTACTTCAACTGGGAATATTAGAGTGAGCGTAAGAACCTGTAGGCAATGTGCTAGGTTGCAGTAAGCATCAGGAAAGTCTGGCTTGAGTTTCAAGGCTGTCCGGTACGATGCGATCGCCTCTGGAATATTTCCAGAATCCTGGGAGTCAAGAGAAACATTCAGCAAAATCAATACACAAGTAATTGTAAATAAAACACAAGAACAAACATACACCAAGGCAAGTCAATAACTCTACAGTAACTTGTCCTTGTTAGAAGTACTCTCTTGTTGGCTGACATCAACAAAGCAAAAACCTAAACCTTGAAATTTTTGCCAGTATTAGATATTGCCAAAATACTGTTGACCAGTCCAACTGTTTGTAAGATACTGTATGAAAAATTATGTGGAACTGGAAAAAAGGATTAAGACTAAAGTGCTGTTTGAGATGTGGGTCAGATAAGCCCTATAGTGTGCTTCAAGACTCCAAGAAATCAGGTCCTTCGTGTTTTGATGTGGTTCTCTTAAAAAAAAACAAAAAAAAAACCCTGTGACAGCATCAGATGTGTGGATTATTACACACATACTATACTGAAGAATAATTCTTACCTTGTGGATTGAGGCCAGATTGCTATGAGCATCAGCGAAGGCAGGGTTGATCTGGATGGCACGGGTGTAGCATTGGAGGGCTCCCTGTACATCTTGCATTTCCTTCAGCGTATTTCCCATGTTGGAGTAAGCATCAGCAAATGTGGGGCTGATTCTAGATAAAAAGGGGAAAACCTCTGTTAGATTTCCATTTCCAAGGAGGTCATTATCAACAGTTACATAAGAAAGTGCCTCTTCAAGGCACTGTTGACAACTACAACTGCTCAGATTAACACAGTGAGTGACGTAGGGTGTAGCAACAGAAATGCCAGCAGCATCTAGTGGAAAATGACATGCTTTTTTTTTTTAAACTAATGAACACTACAACAGCAGTTGTTCATTCTTGTGTAAATGAAAATACATTGTCCAGTTTGTTTAAAATGGCAATAACAGATTCAACAGGCCTTCCAGCTGTTCATTTGACATACCTGATAGCCTCCTTGTAGTGCATGAGGGCTTCCTGGAGTTTGCCTTGCTGCTGCAGGACGCTAGCCAGGTTTGAATGAGCTGCTGCAAACTCCGGGAACACCTGATGAAGAGCAAAAAAACTTACCAAGAAGAACCGTACGAGAGAGCCATGCCTTTACTTTAAGCAATTGCAATGATGATGTTTAGTATCTTTCATATAGGAACAAAATACTTCAAACTCACCTCAAGGGCTTTCCTGTAGAGTTGAACTGCCTCCTCAATGTTGCCCTGCTCACGCTTGATATTGGCCAAGTTGTTAAGCGAGTCTGCGTGGGTTGGACACAGACGCAGAGCTGTGTTGTAGCACTCTTCTGCTTCAGATACCTGGGTGAAACAATAAGATTTTCAAAGGCTTTAGATTTCACGCCCACAAATTTTCAGGCTTTTGGTAATTGATGACGGTCAAGACAGAGAACACACACAAGGAATTGTCTTACATTGCCTTTCTCTTTCAGGGCGTTTGCCAAATTGCAGTAGGCATCAGGGAAATGGGGCTGCAATTCAATGGCGCGACGGTAAGTGTCAATCGCCAGGTCGATGAGGCCTTGTTCATAATAGACACAGGCCAGGTTTCCATGGACAACAGCATGGTTTGGACTAAGACTCAGGGCTCTCAGGTATCCAGCCACAGCTCTGAAAACACCAGACATGCAGAAACTTAACTGAGCAAAATTGTACACAATTACAAATACACACACTGTTAAGAATTCATTGATAAAAATTTAACTTTTTAAAAGTTACTCCATATGCTTGAGTATAATGGAAGCTCTGTAGGTGCAGCTAATCTGCCTTGCCTAAAAAATACAATGCTTTGAAACAGCTATAAGATCCACACAGATGAGGAATTATAAAAAGTAACTCAAGATAAACTCCACTACAGGTCTGATAGGATGATGTTTTCAAAAACAAGACTCCACATGACTGTACCAGAGGTGAAGTCAAACTGTAAGGGGTTGGACTTACCTATCAAAGATACGAGCTTCCTTCAAGACATTTCCTAAATTGATGTATGCATCAAGGAAATTTGGGTCCAGAGTCACCGCCTAAAAAAAGGAAAAACGAAAGACGAGTTTTAAAAAATTAAAAACTTCAAGGAAAAAATAAAAAACTTAGTAGGGTTGAAAACTGCTCAGGTATTTAGTAACCAACCTTTTCAAAATGGTGTATTGCCAGCCATATCTCTCCCTGGGCATTAAACACACAGCCCAGGTTGCTCCAAGCTACTGCAAAGTTGGGTTGAGTCTCAATGGCTTTCAGGTAACAAGCCTTTAGTGGGTTTATAATGAAAAACCACAGGAAAGGAGGAGAATAGGTAGAGCAGGAGAGGTATAGTGTGTAGAGGGGCGGGGAGGGCAGGGATTGTAAAATAAAAACGAATAGAAGATTGAGAATAAAAGTAAGAAAAAACAAAAAGGGCGGGGAGAGATAAATTAGTAGCTGTTCTCCATCATGGCAAAAAGTGAGTCTGCAGTATGGGCTTACGTGCGCACAAGTCTGCCGCGCTAAGCTGCATTGCTTTTTCCTACGCTGCGCAGATCCAACCGACACGCACACAAACGCCCTCATCCTTCAGTTATGACCACATTTGCAAAGAGTTGTGGTCCCCACATGAGTTACAAAATCCTTACAAACACCCTTTACTTACAACCAACAGCATAGAGTTAAAAACTAAGAATATATATACAGTTATCAGCACGAACGCTTTCAGCTTTATGTGGGCATATTATCTCACAACCTAGGATGCTTGACAGTTTGTGCAAGTGGTGGTCCCTGTAATGCATGCGCAACAAACGCTGGCGCGCGGTGAGTGTCTGCTGCCGCCACCACCACAACAATGCACCATAATGCCGCTTGCGTGACCTTGCTCCTGGCAAAGATCATTGCTTTCGCTGCTGCGCCCGCTGAATGGCCAAATGAGACAGCTGCAGACCAACAACCCCTGGCAGAATAACTGCAACACCAGACTGGCACACACTCAGCTTCCACAGAGGCTCTCAGAGGGGAGGGGGTTCTGTGAGGGATGGAAAGACCATCAGAAACACTGCCACAACAACATGGGGAATTTTTGGGATGAACTGCCAGCAAATAGTTGTCTGTTGTGGTAATTTTATTAAATTAGTTCTAAAAAATTGCTCTTTTAAAGCCAATTCTGAGATCTGGGGGGCATTTGGGGCGAGGCTAGTTTTGAGTGGGGAGAGGTCAGCAACCAACAGGCCAAAGGGATTGAGGGGAGTGGGTGTCGCATGCTTGCGCTTTCCGCCTTTTTGGTAGCTTGGAGAAATCGCTGCGCAGCCCATGCGCTACTGCAGACTCACAGCGCACTATCTGCATCATCATCAGAACGCTGCAACTCCAAATAAAGAAGGAAAAACAAAACAAAATAGGAAAAATAAACAACATGTAAGAGTTAGAGGGTTCTTACTTGATTTTCAAGATTACTGCTTCCAAATCCAAGTTTCTTTTTATTTAATGTAGAATTGGGTAATTAGTATAGCATACTTTCAGAAATGCTTACTGTAATTTGTTTAGTTACTTCTTTTCTGTTGGTCTTCAGAAGGAAGCCACAAGATAGAGGAGCTCAAGCATGAAGTGAGGTTGTTTTTCTTTTTCTTTTTTTTTTTTTTTGTTGGCAGTTACAAACCCGTTACCATATTTTTGGACTTTGTCAGAGTGGTGGCCGCAGCTGGCTGGCTGAAGAGGAGAGGACTGAGGCTGCCCTAGTGTTCCTTTCCGCCAGGCACCTAGGCAGGAATAGTGTCACCCACCTGAAACCTTCTAAATAACAATATCAGTTGTGGAAAAACCAAAAGAGACAAAATCAGAAAACAAGATCGTTAGTAAAAGTTTTCAAACAATGCATTCTTTTCTTATTATGGAAATAATACAGCTTCTTCCAAATCACAACAAACACAAAAAATATTATTGGTTTTCATTCATGCAATGAATGTTTCATATTGAACAAAATGTTTGTAAAACTCTAAGGGGAACTGGGAGGGAAGAAAGGCTTTGATTTGTTCAGTTTATCAATTTGTTAGATGTACTTCAAATCAGTTGTATTGTCAAACTACAGGAGGGCAGTTACTGGCTTGATCTTGCCCAAATGAACTGATCCCATTTCTTTGGGAGTAGTATTACATAAAAAGGGAAGACGGATCAATCATTGCTTTTTTAACTTTTAGCATAGTCATAAAATGTTTTAAAGCTTTGATTTCTTTATCGTTGCCTGCTTTCTTGAGTCCTGGCCAATGAAATAGGGAGAGAAGTCTGTGGTGTAATTATTCGTATCTAGAAGCCTCCACAGCTCTGAAATAAAGAGGTCATCGCTGTTGCTGCGCGTGCATCTGTCTTTCTAACCCAGCATCTGACGCAGGCGGTGGAGCGCAAATTGTGAGCTGTCTGCCTGATGCAACTTGGCCCATTTTGAGGCACTTAAATGAAAAACCCACATAGTTTAAGCCCCTTTACAGTAATGGTGAATATCGCAATAGATCACCAACTGGTTAGTCTTTTTTCATTACTGGTAACAGTAAAAAGACCAACTATTGCAAGTATCCATGAAGATCCTGGATCTACATAGATGTATTTGGCACTAACTGCCCATACCTGGAAGGTCAGGAAGACAGCTCTTAGCACGCGCACTCCACCAATCCTCAGCAAGCGCGCGGGGGGTGGAGCGACAGAGCAGGAAGAGCGTGGCTCCCTGATGCTCCTCCCCACTCCTTGACCCCCCCTCAAGCACAAAATAAGATGGCCTGTAACCAGTGGGACAACTCCACATCTCCAGATTTCCCACAACCCAGGGACCCCCCTCCAAAATTGACAAAGTGAATAATTGACAAAGGGATAATAACACTTGGAAAACACCCCCATTGGTAGTAACTATATTGACACATTAAGCTTGTTGTTGGGCAGTCAATATTAACACTGGAGTACAGTGGCTAGGTTAGAAACCATCTTATCTTTTGCCCTGCAAAGATAAACTAGTGTCTCATCAGTTCATAGATTCTTCAAAGGCCGAGCCAGCATTTTCCCTCCAAAGTCAACTATATGAAAATGCATGAGCTGAGGTCCAAAGATGACTTTACATATTCCTAGATGCAAATTTAAAGCTCCAGCCTTTCTTCCTGGAAAGGGGGGTGGGGGTTGGGGGGGGGGGGGGGACCTGTAGCAAAAAGGTCAAGATAACGCAAAGGACAATAGGACTAAGACTGGTACAAGATGGGGACAAAAGTAAAAGTAATAAAAGAGTAATGCTAAAAAAAATCATAATAACATTAAGCTGTCTAAAAAGTAGTCAAGAAAGAGTCTTTTACTAGAAATTTCAAAAATACAGAAAGCTCAATGCGCCCTGATACTTAAACAGTTTTTTAGTAAGCAAGTGGTAAGAAGATAACTACTGGAAAACTCTGAAAAATGAGAAAAAGCTACCAGTTACAGCTCTTTACTTAGCCAAGGGAGTTGAAGGGGAAAGGACTGGAAATTGGCTGAAAAATATCAAAGGGTCAAAAGGAACACCATCTATGGCTTTCTGGAGAGGGGGGACACTAAAATAAAATAAAAAAATGATCGAGAGGGGAAAACAAAACAAAAAATGACAAGACATCCATACAAATGCCAACCCGGTGTTTCATACCTTAGCCTCTTCCAAACGCCCAAGGGCTTTGAGCAAGTTGCCCAAGTCACTACGCACACAGTAAAGATCCTGAAAGAAAATGCACATTCTTACTCTGATGCTACAATTCCTAAAGTTATTCTTTAAAGTACTCGCGCTATTAGATGAGCAACTTACAGGGTTATACTGTAAAGCAGACACATAAGCCTGCACTGCTCCCTCCATGTCGCCTGCGGCCACAAGAGCCGCTGCCAAGTTGATGTAGCCATCGATGAAATCAGGCTTCAGCCTCAGAGCATGGCGATAATGCTCGATGGCCTCCTGCAACTGTCCACGCTCCTTGTATACGTTCCCCAAGTTGGAGTAGGCCTCAGCTAACATTGGGTTCTGCTTGATGGCCAGGGTGCTGAAGTGAGCAGACCTGTCGGGCAAGAATGATTGTAATGTGGTTACATTTATAGAAATGAATGACTGGCATTAGTGGCTCAAAGCACTAAGGCGAGGCAGAGCAACACTGAAACTGAGAATCCTGTTCTATGTTATATGTGGAGTTTTTATAAACACATTAACATGGTTTTTGAGTACCTTTAAAATTGCAGGCCGACTTTATTATATGCCAGCATGCCAATGTGGTATCAAGTCAATAGCATGTTCCACATCCAAACTCTTTGCACAGACAAGGGGGGCATCTAAGGCAAAAAGTATGCTATATATTTGCCCACGATGGTCACACAGTGCAAAGTCTACATTGATACTTCGTAAACACTTTGGGTTGCACACCAAAATATCACTACTTGCCATTACAACATACTAAACGATAACTACACACACAACATTCAAATTGCTTTGAATGTACACTGGATGATTGTAAGGATAGAAAAAGTAAAATCACGTTTAAACCCGTATGTAGCAGAAACCAGATTCTTCACCGTGATACCTGTAAAGCAAGGGTTTGACCACCACCAAAAGACTGTGACAATCTCAAGGGGAAGAAAGTTTTGAAGGTATTAGATTGAGTGGAAGGATCTCCAGAGTCCAGTGCAGTAGTTATATTTGACTGCTGAAACCAGCTGTGAGCGCTGAATGTCAGAGAAGACCCTTTATTCTCTCCCACCTCCACGCCACAAGCTCAGAGCACGTTGTCAGCCCCCCACACCTCACCTGTCGAGCCTTCGGCACTGGAAGTGGATGGAGGACAGGAGTAGCAGAACGCCTGTATTATCAGGCTCTTGCCTCCATAGCTGCATGCAGTGGCGCTCGGCTGCCTCAAAGTCCCCTGACTGATACTCCCGATGCGCCAGTTCAGCCAACCCTTGGAAGGAAAGCATACGTTTTGTCGGTTCTGGAGCACCAACACAGCCCAAGGAGGGGGAAACAACATGTTAGAGGTGATGGAAGAACTTAGAACAGACAAATGAAAACCAAAAATAAATCAAGTGATGTCAATGAAAAATAGCGCTCTAGAATTTGAACACAACTGAGATCAAGCAATGGACTAAGGTCCGACTGAAAACAGAAGTTGTGATCATAACAAAAAGTGAGGCTGCATTATTTTTTGTGACTTTGCACTTGACATGGTGCATTGTTTGACTAACAAAAACATATTTTATGGAGATATTTTTTTCTGCTAGAGTTGAACTTTATCAACAAAGTAAAAAAAATGCAACATAAAACACGGACATAAAATCAATGAATGTGATGAACAAATGAGCAGGAGAGGAGACAATTCACTGGCAGCAATGACCTTTTTTAAAGTTACTTTTAACACACATTTTACAGATGAATTGAAAACTTGACAGCATATAGTCATAAATCGTATAATTACAATACAGGCTGAAAAGATTATATCTGAGGTTGAAATGAGGTATTTTTAACACAACTAGATAATCTTTTGTCTCTCTATTATTCTCTTGGCCTCTGCAACTTGGAAGTTTTGTCAAAATGTTTCTTTCTATATCAATGTCTCATCATATTTTGGTGTCAATAGGTGTACTAGAGTTAAAGGGATATTCCGGCATAAAATTAATTTAGGGTCAAACACACCGTAACACCGACTTAGACACACCCTCAAGAGCTGAATGTTGCTGACTGCTTGCTTCTCTAGTTATACCAACTTTAGTAACGACCACACGATAGCAATACACAGCGGTCTGAGGAGCCATAAACAAACCTCAACCAAAACGCCACTCTATAGCCACAAATCATACTCAGAACAGCACCTAACTTCATCAACAGTACATATAGGGTCCCAGCCATAGAACTAGCCACCAAACTTCTTTTCAGCTTTGCCTAATTTCTTTAGCAATGAGACTAAACACAACTCACCCACTCTCTTCCAGCAGCCGCTTGTTTGAACAGAGACCTCAGGCCAGTCCATTACGGACTACAGCAGAGTGACGCAGCTCAAGGAAGAACATTTATAATCATTTCTTCATGGAAATGCAATCAGACAGAGACACTAAGGCAGAAGAACTACTGCGTCTGCAGTGCAAAATTATTAATATGGTGATTGTTACTTCAAGAAAATGATAAAGTAATGATCATAAATGTTCTTCCTTGAGCTGCGTCACCCCGCTGTAGTCCATGGTGGAATGGCCCGAGGTCTTGCTACAAACAAACGGCTGCTGGAAGAGAGTAGGTGAGTTATGTTGAGACTCTTTGTTAAAGAAATTAGGCAAAGTTAAAAAGATGTTTGATGGCTAGTGCTGTGGCTAGGATCTTTTATGTACTGATGATAGGCCTGGACGATATAGAAAAAAGGCATATCGATAAAAAATAAATCATATTGATCGATATCGATAATTATCGATATAATTATTATAGTTATTTAACATATATTTTAATTGCAGCCCTGGATGTTTTATGCTATTGCTTAATGACCTACTTTTAATAAAGAACACACAGGCACTGAATTCAAATTCAAACCTTTATTCAACCACCTTTTTTATTTTACCACAACTGAAAGTTTTTTAAAAAAGAACTAAAAAAAAAAAAAAGAAATCAACTTAAGTGGCCTGAGTGACGTCAGTAAATACTGACAAACATAAAGACTAAAGTGACCAGAAAATCTGATAAATAAATATTTAAATAGTCTTTTGATGAAAATAAACAAAACAAACAAATATATAAATAAACAGAATAGCTTTAGGTGGGAATAGCATACTACCAGTTTTAACTGTGTGAGAAACTGCCCACAGCCTGGTGTCTGAACACTGAAATATTTCTCCCGGGGTCGGGAGATTTATTTTAATTATCATGTGATTGACTTGATACGCAAACTGAGCACGAGAAGCAGGACTTATCCACGCCGGTGTTGTGTCGTAGAATGCACCCCTGCCGAATGCACCCCCTGCTAGTAGCCATGATCCAAATACTCGCGTCTTTGTGAAATATGAGCTCATTTTCTTCCACTTTAAGAAGCTAATGAGTGGACGGGATGCATTCTTCTCACCTTTTCAACCCCTGACCCATTTTCATGCCTGAAGCGCTGTGTTTGAGAAATACTTGCGGCCGGACACTTCATATCGCGGGTCGAGAGTGGCTAGAAGCTGGTCGAAGCCAGGCTTTTCAACGGTAGTTACTGGCAGTATGTCCCTCGCTATGAAGCATGTTACTGCATGGGTGATGTCCTTATGCCGCTCGGACGCTTTGTCGTATTTTGGCAAGAAACGAAGTCCAGTTTGGTCTGCTTCACATGCTTTGTGCTGGTGCTGGCAGCGGTTCCAGAGGATTCCTCCTCCGACGACGACGTGGAGCCGCGGCGCGGCCGACACAGCTCGTACTCCTGCGGGTGCGACCGGTTTAGATGGTAAAACAAGTTGGTTGTGTTACCAGACTTGGTTTTTACCAATTCTCTGCAAATTTTGCAAACGACCGCTGTTCGCTTTTTGTCAGACTTCTAAAAACCAAAACATTGCCATGCTGGTGAACTACTGACAATGTCCTCCGCTTCTCCTTGCTGTATCATTTTTTCTAATACACGTGCTGTCTGTTGTGGTTTGATAGGGGCTGGGCTTGGTGCCGTAGCGTACCTGGGTCTGCGTTTGTGATTGGTTGGGAGGAAGTAATGACTGTAGTAAAAGCTACATGATAGGCTATGATGAAAAAGAAAGGGAAACTGTGTTTTTCTATCGAACTTTTTATCGACCCGTTTTTTTTCTATCGCAGCACACGTCTATCGAGCGATATATATTGTTATCGAATTATCGTCCAGCACTAACTGATGATGAAGTTAGGTGCAGTTCTGAGCATTATTTGTGGCTATAGAGTGACTATTTGGTTGAGGTTTGTTTATGGCTCCTCAGACCACTGTGTACTACTGTCCTGCAGTCGTTACTAAAGGTGGTGTGACTACAGAAGCGAGCATTCGGCAACATTCATCTCTTGGGGGTGTCTAACTCAGTGTTACGGTGTGTTCGACCCTAAATTAATTTTACGCTGGAATATCTCTTTAAATCCTAATGAACATCGACTGTCATTCCAGGTCAGGTTTCTTGGGTTGAAATCAACATTGAACAACGTGACATGCACGTTCAGGATTGTAGAGGGTGGAGGAGGTATGACGGCTTTTGTTAAGTCTAATAACTCCACACCTAGCAGAATTAAAGCCTTAATGCCAACTTCTCCAGTAGATCAGGTTCGTCCATCCGTCAGTGTTACGTCATTGCACCTGCGTGTACGATGGATGAAGCGTTTCCTATACGGCAACCCTACTAGTCCTGATTTTGTATTTACAGTCATGCATCAGTTGACAATAATCAATGACAAACATTAATAGCGTTCATTTTATACTCAGATTGACAGCAATGTCAGCAGGATTGAAAAAAAAAACTATAGTAAACCTTGGGCATCTGCACCAAATCGGGGACTGCAGGGCTATTTTTTACTGATGGACATCTTCGCATCATTCCGCATAGCAAAGGGCAATGAAAACTATCCCAAGCCGAGGGCGATGTCGGTTTTTAACAGGAGAAGCCATTTTCCTCTACGGCTACAGATACAACGACATCTTAATGTGGATCATATTAAAAGGGATGTAACGCGTAAATAGTTTGACTTTAACATTAAACCAAACCGATTTTTAATAAATCCATCGACATGACAGGGAATAGTTCACAATTGGTGTAATATCTTTACCCCTGTCTACAATAATCGACATCATCAAGAGGATAACCACCGGCTACATGTGAAGTTAGCCTGACGTTAACATTAATTCGACAATAACCAAGAATTTTACCGGAAAATAGTGATTATAGTTACATTTTATATCAATTCAGTGTCTTTAACAAGACGGTGTAAGGTATTATGTCGCCAGGAATAAACATCCCGAAGCTTTATCCGTTTTGATGAAGGTTGGCGTACGGCTAGCTACTAGCTCAATCGCATCAAGCTAACGAGCTAACAGCCTCTGTTGTGATGCGATGCGGTCATCTGCACAGCTTTAAAACACCAACATTATCCGCCATTTGACAACAGTAAAAATTACCTGTGCTGTCAGCCACGTTTCCCACTGAGGTCGCCATCTCCTCAGTCTTGGTATCCTGCACGGTAGTCGTCAACGTGTCTCCTGGTCGATCACCGTCTCAGAGAAAAATGTGCGATGAGCACTCTTGCCTTTTGTTGGCTATAGCAGGCACACACGTTACCGGGCAAGCTACAAAGCTAACCTTACCTCTGACTTTCCACACCCAGTACAACGCCACAATAAATTATTGCATTGGTTAGGCTGGCGCCGGGTGATAATTAATCGGCTAAACACGCCTGTCTTAAAACTGGCATTAATTTAGTGGCCGCCTCGAGGATCGAGGTGATTCTCGCCTTCTCAATGCGCATATGATACATAAAATGGCGTAATGGGTGGAACTCGTTTTTGAGAGAAACTAGATCCTATCATCGTCATTTCCAAAACGCGAATTTGAACCAAATACCTCAATGCACAGTCTAATCTTGACATTACATTAATTTGCAGTAAAACTACAACTCGGTAAAATATGTTGTGTGTTTCATAGTGAATACTGTACCGAATGATTTCACGCGGAAGAACACATCGGTGCAGTGAGACCTAGAGTAAATGATATCATAGCCCCCCAGAAAAGAAATCAGCACCAGTGCAGGATCGAAGAAACACGTGATGATATCCACTATCTATGGTCCTGCAGCGTGTAGACATGTCTCATCTATGATCCGAGAGTGTGAAGCCCAAGATTCAGGACTAAATTGATGGAACGCTGTATTTCTGTAAAAGGAATCAGTTTATGGAACAATCTGAACAAAGACATCAAAGAATCCGAGTCAAACATTACATCTAAAAGATTAATTAAAGCCAGTTTGTTAAGGAAATATAAGGAAATATGTTAGTTATATCTGATTTTCATACCATTGTAATTTTGTTGTTGTTTGAGTGGCATTAACTGAATTGTAACTTGGGAACTAAATGGTAAATGACTGTCTGTGGTGGCCAGCAGCTATATTTATATATTTTTTTCATTATATATATATATATATATATATATATATATATATATATATATATATATTGTTGTCTTTTGTGTATGCTGTCGTTCTTTTTTTTATTTTTTATTTAATTTTATTATTTAAGTTTGTTCTTTGTAAATTGATTTCTGGGGATAAACGGGCAGATAAAATAAGATTAGTCTTCTTTCTGCTCCCTTTCATTCTAGATAGGAGAACATTAAAGGAATGAAATAAAGAATAAATAAAATGAATGAAGCTCACAGGTTACAGTAAAAAAAAATGCATGCAGCGATTTTAAATATCTTGATAAGTTGGTTTAAGTACTTCATATGAAAGCTTATATTGCAGACTGTTGTGTATGTATTTAGCACGCTCTATTTCCAAAAGTTTGGGTACATCCTTTCGACATTCATAGTACACAGCCCAAATACTAGAGCTGGAACAATATGCTTTTCTCCCGATTCGATTCTTCTACAATTTTTTAGATGCCAATTCAATTTAAATTGCAATTCTACGAGATTGTCAATTTTCTCGATATTTAGTCTGCAATTTTAACACCAGTGAAACAGTTGAATGTTTATGATTGTCTACTGACTATTCCAGGAACTATATTTCCCCATAAAATACACCTCACATGTAAGTCAGTTTTTAAGATTTATTCTTAAATTTGAAAAAAAAAAAAAAGAAAGAAAAACAATTTTTGAACATAAAAATCAATATAAAAACTGTGATACTTACGTGAATTGATTTTTTTTCTCACCCCTACTAAATACTGCATCATTGATTCCCCATGTATCACTTACTTATTATCTTTAAGCCCAGACAAATACGTTTTTTGGATGGTCATTCAAATAATATTTATCGATCGAATAGATCATAACTTCAGAAGACAGCTGCAACCAGCCTGGCCATGTAATTTCTTATATTTTTCATCTTGATCTCTGATCCAGAAATACAACATTTTTGAATGTTTCTAAATCATATGTAAGACAAGAAACACTTTGATACATTGTGCTGAGCTTCACAAGCCTTAAACGTCACACTACTTGGGCAGAATAAACCATAATAGTTTATGATCTATTTTGGAAATGAGAGCATAGTCTTTAATTTTTAATATCTAACCAGAATAATCAGCTCTCAGAAATAAGAGAAAGGTTTATGGCCCTCTATGCTATATCAACAAACACCAGCAGAGGGCACCCTCTGAAAATGTTTTTTAAAGAAGTTTTTCTGAAGCTGAAGTGAAATGTTTTTCAGCATGATTTTGCTTTGGATCCTTTATTTTTTAACTTTTTTTAAAAAATGCAAGGCCTATATTTATGACACGTCAAATTGTATAGAGTAAGGTAGAAGTATTCCTTTAACAAAATTGTGTCACATTAAAGATAAAAGATGGTTGTACATTTTTTAACCAGTTACAGATGTCCTTCCCTTGTTTCTATTCTGTCAAAAACACTCACAAACACTTGTCATCATCATAGTCCAGTGACAAGTGAAATCTCTGTCAATATTCACTTGAAACCTAAATTATTAGCGATACAGGCCCCCACTTTATCCTTGTTTTGTACACTGTATCGCTCCAACTAATGAATCCCTTCAATTCATTCATGTTGAACTCAGTTTGAAGGATGTGGCCCACAAAGTGACAGTCATTAACGTGCCATTCTGCCCTGAAGATGTTGAAAAGGGGGCTCTGCTTGTTGCACCCCAGTTTTTTCCCATAGTCCGTCTATGGGAAAGTGGTTGACATCATTGCCCATGTTGGCATTGCTCTGTGTGCTCAAAGCATGCATAGGGTGCAGGGTTTGTGTACTCTTCCACACTTTGCTCTCTTAACTCTTCACACTGCTTAGCGGTCACTTATGCACAGAATGATGTCATGGGCACTGTGTGTCTATGGCAATTGCATCTGACATGCTTTATCTTTGTGCAAGCTACAATCACTAGAAAGGCAGTCAGGGCAAACGCATCTTCCCCAGCCTAAAGGGTCAGTGACAGCACTCTACAACAGACCATGCTTTCACACAAGCTATTTTAGGAAGCACGTGAGAGCAAGAGGTTCATTCACTCACAGGTCAATTTAGACCAACCGCTATTAAAATCTCAGCATAGCCCGGAGATGTTGGGAGTTTGTTGTTGTTGCTGTTTAATTGCTGGGTCGGAATATTCTGCTACCAAATGAGTGGCCTAAATTATTGCAGCCCATTTATTTTAGGAGAAAGTCCAATCCAAATTGATGACCTACATTATTTGAAATGTTTTGGAAGGCTTTCCCAGAAAATTGAATGGGGCTGCTTTGGGTTACACTGGGAGATATTTAGTTCATTAGTTTAATGTCAAAGCCTCATACAATGACTCACAGATGAAATCTGTATGTGTTTTCAAGTGCATGAGGTAAGGCAAACATACTGCATTGTAATGGGTGAAGTTACTGCTCGCACACATCTGGAAAAAACATGGAAATTAGCAGAATCCACACACAATTATAGACTGACTTAGCAATGTATTCTTTTGAGTTTACGGCTGCGTGGAAGACTGCCAGGAACCAACAGAAAACAAGAATTTATTTCATTTTTTTTAGAAATAAGTTACAACTGTCTGTTCAACCAGATTAAGCTAAATGTATTTGACACACAAGTGTCTGGCATCTTCTTTATCAAAGGGACTTTTTTTTCTGGAATACAAATGAGTACTTTCAGATATATTCAATGCACCCATGATCCACCTGAAAGACTTTCTAGGAACATATCAAAAGTGGAAGATAGCAATCTGTGACACACATCATTTTGCACAAATGTATTTGTCCATTTAGACAAAGTTAAGACAAGTAAAACGTGGTTGATACTTCAAGAGCAGTACTAACAATAATAAAGCAATAATGATTTGTATTACTGAGTAGTAAAATCCTGACAAAATGCTGTGTGTCTGATTAGAGAGGCCTACAGCAGGTACTGAGGGTGGAAATTAATGCAAATCAGGTTGACAGCAGGAGTTTTCTGACATGAATTAAATTCATATTGATGCCTATTTATAGCAAACAAGAACATCAGAGACCAGCTTGACCATAATCATATTATGATTTTTAATGCCCGACACTGGTATGAGGGTCAGATGAAGAAACACACCTTTTTCCTTTTTTTTTTTTTTCTTTGTTTTTACATTTTCCACATTATATATTCACAGTAAATAAAGACTTTGGCTGTCAAAGGTAATGTGGGAAGAAATGTTCTTGTCAGGAGTCCTACTTATGTAGAGGAAAAGATAAACTACAGTGCTTTGTCAACAGGGGGTGCCAAAATTGACACAAATTGAAATTTCCTCTCAGGAACTTTGAGACCTAAATTTGTTAGTTATCATCTATCAGGTACTCTTTGCATTTCCACTCCATGAAAATTAGTTCACTGAAACTCAGGCTTTCTGCACTGATGTTTCAATCACAAGGTCCAGGAAATCCTTTTTATGTTTTAGTAGGGAAAGGCATGCAGGGAAGGGGGCACAGGTTGAAATCCTACCTGGACTACCCCCTTCAGGACTATAGCTTCTTCACAACTTAATCACTGGTCCAAATTAGCACCCAAGTTTTCATTTTTCCATCACACGCTGATTTGTCCCCTTTGGCACTTACAGCTGTATATACATAATAATAACCCTGTTGCACCATTGGACAGTACATTTCACCTAAAAAAAACTCAAAGACTCAAATTTAGAGGAAATATTCTCTTCACCTAACCACATAAGTACCTTGAGTTTGATTTACCACCTACTAGCTAAGCATACAGGTGAAGCTAATCAGATTCAGATGGGCATGTGCATCACAAAAAACATAGAGAAGTATTTTGCAGTGTGCAAATTGCCACAGATGAAGCTAACTGCAGCTCTTAAAATATCACTTCGAATTGTAAAGATTTAAAAACTGTTAAGAAATGTATCATGTAATTTTAAATGAAATTGAAAGTGCATTTAATTGTAACTAACTCTTGGAATTAAGCGATTTACGTGGATTTTTTAAGAAGTAGTTGTTTGACAGCCATAATCATAACCAGTCCTGCTGCTTCAGTCACCTCAAATATCCTTTTCAGGAAACAAAAGAGGAAACAGTAGTATGTAAACTACAGCGTGAGCTACTTAGATTATTTAGGTGTTTCCAGTTAAGCACAGAAAGCAGTGATGGGAAAAACGTAGCTTAACAGACAGTTAGTTATTAAAATAACTAGAGAAAGGCTTGGTTAAAATCATTACCTGAAAAGCAGACATTATACAGCCCTCCTGTCTGCACGAGCGTGACTTTTTATTGCTTCGCCAGCAGATTGCCTGCAGCACCGCGCATATTTGTCACTACATCGACTCCTAAGTCAAAGAGAGAGAAGAAAAAAATCAGACAAAGGCATTTCCTCAAGAGTATCTTTGCTGTTGAAGCAGGAGTCGGCATAAATTTTGTGACTCCTGACATACTGACACAGTG